TTTAGTAAATTCCGTGAATTCGCTTTAGAAACCTGCCTTGATTACTGTTGAGGAAATTCGTGAGCGTAATCGTCGTGAAAGAAGACATCAAAAACAAGTTGACTTCAATCGTCAAATCAAACGTCATAATCGCGCTGGTATAAAACGTCAGGGTCGTCTTAATATGAAAGCTGAAGCATTACTTTTTGGATAGCACAAGTTGTTTATTTTTATTTTGTTAATTATTCAATCAACAATATTTTAACAGATGTACCTATATTTTCTGTTACTAACATAAACTAATGTGGATATTTCAACCTCTTTCAGAATCTTCCTTATATATTTTGTACACAATATTAAGAAGATAATTGTATAGTTACGGTATTTTTAAAATCTGGTTTTCTCGTAATTTCAGAACTTTTATTGTTTTTGATCTTGTTGTTCACTTTATAAATTGTAAATAAGTGATTTTCTGGTCAATGTATTACTGACTTTGCTTTTGCTTGACAACACTCAAATTTACGTGTGAACATAGAAATTAAGCTAAGTCAACAAAGATTTCCTCCAAATTAGAGCCTTAACATAGCTCGACACTGATTATTACGTAGGTTTTACAACAGTTGTTTTCTTTATTTCCCTAGTATTTTTTCACAAATAATTGAGGATTGTGTATGTGTAATGTAAATTAGATAAGTCAGTATGGATGATCGAATTCGATTAGTGGAATTTTTCAGGAGTTATTCTTTCATTTCAAGTCCATTTAACCAAGTGTCACCTTCTGTAGTTTGTCTTGTAAATTGCCTTATGCTAACCATTTCGGATGGTCTTCTCTGAATAGGAATTTTGTATTAGACCGACAATTTTTGAGATGGACTGGCGTTTGTCTTAACACTTTGTCAACAATTACAGTCATAACATGTATTTCGATGTAAGTTGTAAAGTTTTTGTCAATCATATTAAGGATGAAGTCACTAAAAATGCGACCCAGTATTCCTTCGTAACGGTTTACATTCAACAAACAAGAACCCAGTTAAAACTAGTTTGTGTACAACTATCAAGTTGAACGTTTGCTGTCAAAACTCCTTGTGAGATTTTAACAATTTACATACCATTATAACTTATGTATTGTTTACCGAAATTCCTGAACGAGCACAACAGTTACATCTACGGCGATCGCTGAAGAGTAACTATTCCTCGAATTTTATGTACTTACTATTGTTACTAAACAGCAACGGTATGAACACTCCCAGAATGTATTGTAAACCACTGGTGTTCTGCCACTATATACATTACCATCTCATTAATTTTTCTGGCTACAGACTTAGTTTTGCTAGTTTCTTTGATAACTGACTTGAAGGAGTATAAAAATTTCAAGGACCTTGGGGTAGTTCATGGTTGTCGGCATGGCAGAGTTTTATCAAATGACCTCAACGGACATGCTTAGTTTTTAAGGCCTAACAATTGGAACTGGTATAACTCATTATGGTTCTTGTAAAGGGATTTTTGATATATTCACGCTGTATTCATTATAGATGAACTTGCTAAATAAATGTAAGCTTTAGGCATTATTGATGTACAGCAATTATCTTGGTACTAAAAGATTACATCTAGCCACAGTATCATACAGTTTAGGACTTGAATAAAGTATTTACACTAAAACAAATGACTAATTACCAGATGACTATCCGAACAAGATTTTTAATTGGCAAGACGTGATAACGGACTTAGTTTTGTTTATGAATTACTAAAAATTTATTTCGAGTTTGGATAACTAAAATATATTACTGTTAGATATAAAGTAATTGTTTTACTGGAGATTTTTTTAAGGGTTTGTAACGTATATATTTGGGGGCTTATATATATATGCCCTGGTACGGCTGAGAGTTGGGAGAGTCCGATCTCCCTATCCAAATGCTATCACAGCCACATGTATACAAACACTACAAGAGAAGTCCTGCCTTCTCGCGGCATTACTGTTGTTTACGAAATTGAGAGGATAAAAAGCGAATGTCCGGCGCTTTAACGGGGTTGGTGCACACTGAGAATCTACCTAGGGGAGTTGGAAAATTCTGATTCCAAACGAATGGTGCACGTGGGCTCCAGGATCCTGAGGGAACAAATGGTGTGTATACCAATTGTTGGTGACCGGCTACCATGGGACTGCATCTTCTAATGTTGCTCTACTACCTTGTGAATTAGACCTTTAGGTCGAAGGCTCCGGGTGTAGCTTCCTGATAAAAACATCTGCTTTGCTTTGGGTTTTCCGACCCTCACAAAAATCAAATAGTTTGTGTGGCGCATCTGTATTTGATGCTTTCTTGTACCAATGTTAATGTTTAAAAAATGTTTATATATATATATATATATATATATATATATATATATATATATATATTATGGATTATATTCAACTGAAACTTCATGTGATTTCAGACAATCCTAACTTCTAGAAAATTTTTAGAAAGTGATAATATAATCTAAAGTAGCACTTTACACAAGCTACCAATCGATAGTCAATACCTATCACTTAATAATATTCATACAGTTATGATAATCTAATAGGCGGAAAATTGAATTTGTGAAGTTTTGCAACTTAATTTCAAATCTTGAAGTAGTAGAACAAACAACTTTTGCAAATAACAAGTTTGAATGATTAAAGCGATTCGCTTAATTCTAATAGTTGAATTCATGAGTTGATGTAAGCCAGAGCACCATTGAAAACTTGGAAGCACTGGAAGGCCGCTTCGTCCTAGTATATGACTTCTCAGCACTGCGCACGCACACGGGGTTCATGCCCATGACCGTAATTTCTTTGAAATTTTCAAGTCAAATTGTGGTATTGACAGTCGTCTATTTTTCTTTTTTTTAATTACTGTATTCAGGTTTCTAAATATTATGTTTTTTTAGGAATGCTGTATAGATACATATCTAACGGATTTTGAGCTTAGATGGTTAAATAATAGGTCATAGTGAATCTGGAAAAACTACTCTTCTTCACTCAGGAAACTACAGTATCCCAATTGAATGAATATCAATAGTCTATTCAACTAGATAATTAACTTCATCTAACAAAATATTACTTTTGTGTGAAAGTTTGGTACATGTTGAATAAAATGAGGAGCCATGAATAACTTTCAGTCAATCACTTACAGATAACATAGGATATAATATTGATGAGCGTCGGTCCAAGTTGCCATATTCCACATTAACATGGAGGGAGAAATTAACAAGATCAGAAGAGGCGTAGAAAAAATCGAGAATTGAATGCTTTCGAAGAACTGAAGTGATTAAATTAAATTTGAGGAAGATAGGAGGTGATTATAACTGCGTCACAGCGATCGGTGGATGGGATTATAATGACGAAAATGAATAAATGTTATAGTGTATCTGAATCTTTGTGTACGAGACTCAAATTTATTATTATTAATTTTCTAAAATATTAAAGATTCCCATTGTGAAAATTAGAACAACACATATAAGCGAACAATTGTTCTCAATTAGATCATCATCAGGCTTTACTCTAATATACATGAATATTTATACGAAAATCTTAAACCAATCAAGACAGTATGGGTCAATAATCACAATGAAATAGAATAAGTCACCACACATAATAAGTAAAAATACAAGTTGATAGTAGGAAGATAGGTGTACTGATAGTAGTAAGAATAATAAAATACGATAACAAAAGTTATCTCAATAGTTAAACATTGGAAATAGAAAGTGAAACGTGGGTAAATAGAATTAGAATAGTCAACACAAAACATTAAAACCATTACGTAATAAAAAGTGAGTAAATAATTAGATAGTGAAGAATACAAGCGACAAGAGGCGGAAAATTACAAACAAATACTAGATGTGAAAAGAAGGCTAATGATAACAAAAATAGAATAAAATAAATAGTTATTTTAAAAAAATCGATAGTTGAGTTATAATTGGCCATGGGAGGGATAGGGAGGTTACGAATTTCTTCTGTACACATAAATTGGCGTTATAAGTACGAAGTCCTATGGCTTCAGCTATATGTAGGAAGCGGGAACGAACTCCGTTGGGAAATGATGGAGGTATACGGTAGATCACTCGAAATGAGTTCGATTTATCTACAGCATAATCGCTATCAATGAGATGTGCCAAAATAGAACTGCGAATTGTTTTTATCTGGCCCTTTATAAACCACGCTGGTAGATGCTCACTCATTCGTCGGTTAAGTCGCCTGGTAGTACGCCCGATATAGCTATCTCCATAGGGGCAGCTGAATTTGTAAATGAACATTGAGGAGGCCAACTTAGGTAACTTATCCTTCGTTTGCGTAGACATCTCTGGTCGATAAGAGAATTAATTTTTGGACTAGTTCAGACAACGAAAATTATTCTAATTTATATTGAGCTCTAGCCTACTAAAAATGTTCTGCAAAACGATTAATTATTGGGTTTCATTCTTAACATAGTGAGTGTTATATATTATAATTTAGCCAAGTCTTATTCTAGATTAACAGATTTAATGGTATTTGGTTTGGAATTTTATCAAGCTCTCGAGATCATGATAAATAATTCAAGGCAATACCCTTGTTATTGTTTTCTTTCTGAAATATAGGATGAAAACTTTGTTTGAATAAGTCAATAAAATAAATATATAAAAAGCAGCAATTGACAAGGAAAAAAGCATAAAAAAAGAATTAGACATTTCCTAATCACTTTGGGCGTAAATTAATTGAAACGTTTTTCTCTTAATCGGATTGGTTGAAAGTAATTTTGGTTGCCCTTGACATAGAATACAACGATATTGGTATATTTCTCAACTTGTTTTAATCTAACGATAGTATGAGAGACATTAACGTAGTTGGGATGTTTTTTTTATGTGTATATAAAATAAACATTTAGAATGACAAAGAAAGAAATAAATCTGAATCAAAGCCAACACTTATTATGGATTAAGTACAACTATGTTCATAAAATAATAGATAACTTCAGTTTCATATCGATAACAAATTTAAAAGTTTTTCACACTCCTATATCTGAATAATGAACTGGATATCAACAGAAGAATATCATTCAACAAATCAAAACAATAATCATTCTTATATTTTGTCTAATCAATTCAAATCACAAAGGAATATTAGTCAACTGGAATCATTAAACATAGAAACAGATGTTAATAACACTAATAATAGAGCTTCATTCACACAATGTTCAAATTTATCGCCATTAGTTGAGAATCCCTATCACATTACAACATCAAGACAACAATTATCAGAAGAATCCATAAGAGTCCCAGTAATTCCTAGTTTACCAATGAAAAATGTTAACTGTATAGATAATAATGTACAGAATTGTATTAATTGTAATGGCGATTTAATAAACTATTTGGATAATGTAAAGTTCTCCTATAAAAATGTAGATGAAATTGATCATTTATATAAGAAACTACGAAAAAATGTATGTTCATCATCTGTTTAACTGTCTATTGTACATATTTTTATTTATTTTGATAGATAATTTGAATTTCAGGTACTATAAAATTAATTTACTTAAATGAAACTGAATCAAAGTAAATTAGGAATACTTCTAGTTGCTTTGTTATTGTTATTACGGTAAGTTAGCATAATATATGCACAAACAGAAAAGTTCATATGTATATTGAAGTATCTAGGATAGGATTCTATTTCATAGATCATTACATACATCCATTACTATAGACTAGTTAAATAATATCAATCTATTGAACCTAAATGACTAAAGATCAACTGTCTATTCCACATAAAAATAATTTACAACCAATAAAATGTTTATTATTGTTGATCACCTTAAACTTAGATATCATTACCGACATGTTTTAAAGGCTGATAGCTAATTAATATTCAATTAAAATATCTGAAAACAATGTATAAACTTACTTACTTACTTACGCCTGTTACTCCTGATGGAGCATAGGCCGCAGACCAGCATTCTGCAACCCACTATGTCCTGGGCCTTCTTTTCTAGTTCCATCCAATTCTTGTTCATTTTTCTCATGTCTATCTCCATTTTCCGGTGTAGTGTGTTCTTTGGTCTTCCTCTCATCATTTGGCCTTGAGGATTCCATGCAAGGGCTTGTCTTGTAACTCAGTTGGGTGCTTTCCTCAATGTGTGTCCTACCCACTTCCAGTGCTTCTTCCTGATTTCTTCCTCCGAATGTATCAACTGAATGGTAGTTAATCTGAATGCAAACCACTTACTATCTAGTAAATCATATTCAGAATAAGCACAAAAATTCTTATCTATCATACCATGGACACAGACTATAGAGAATAAAATCAACTTAGAGTTCTCCAAAACTTGAATGATTTAGTTTAATCCAAATAAAAATCAGAGCTTCACTTCTTGCTTATTATTGGATACGAAATCCTTAACCGACTCTGAATATTCATTGTTCCCTTGAAAATATCGAGTTAATCTCAAATAATGACAAATATCTACGGATCATTCAATCACAGAAAGTAATATGATAGTGTGAAAACCGTCCGCAAACAATTAAGTATCATAAAAGCATTTTTAAATTTTGATAAATCTAGTCTAAATGACAAAAAAATAGTTAACATTCCATACAGTTCATATACTATTCACTCTCGTTCATAAGCTTCTTTTTTATTAGCTTAAAGTATAATAAATAATTTCATCTAATTTAGAAATATTATTTAAACTCATTTGCAATGTGAGCTTTCTACGCTTAACTATTATGTAACAGACCGTATATGTTTAAATAAGTAGTTTTGTTAGCTACACAATAGTTTGAAAACAGAGAATTAATATTATATTACCTTGACTATCAGATCAATAAATTTGTCCCGTTTTTTGAATTGTAGATTGGTCTGTAATTTTATCAAAATCAAACGATTTTAGGTAAGCATTTCTTTTTAGCGCGTTAGTTTTCTACGGGATGGGGTAGCTAACTCCATGCCCAACCCTTCTCCTTTATCCGGGCTTGGGACCGGCAGTAGCCCCAGAGAGGCTGCAGGCGGAGTTAAAATCACAAGATATTTTGTACTTAATAATTATATTTTGACTGAAACTTTCATACAGTAACACCAGACTTTAATTATTTTCGGAAATTCTACTGTTATTTTAGTAGAATATCATAACGGTGAAAAGTGTTTGATAAAGGAGCTAACATTAACATTACAGTCTATTTTGCTCAACATATGATCTTCGGATCATTGTGTAAAATTTGCCAATTGGAGAAAGCTAACTTTTATGTTCAAATCCTGGGAAATAAATTAATGTAAGAGTTTAGAGTTAACCATTTCAAGTTTTCTCAGACATTGAGAAAATTTCTATAATAGTTTATATTTAGATCTAATTTTTTACACAACTCGAAATAAGATTGTATTTCACAGAATATTAAGAAATTGGTATACAACAACTGCATATAGTAATCTTCACATTGACTGGAAAAACTGATGTTACTTTTAAAAAAGCTTGATAAACTCCTAATAATAATAATTTGCAATTTTAAGAAGGTCATTCCATTTTCTCGAAGGGTTTTGTCTTCTCGTGTAATAGTTTGTTCTTACAAACAATTGATCATGGGTCTTTTATTTACATTTATACTTTATGTAAACTTGGAGGACATAATTGATATTCTCTGATGGTAACAGTTAGCTCATTTTTATCATCCTATTTGGTGTTCGTCAAGGAGACGGAAACAAATGTTAGTTGATTTCGGTTTTATTATTTAAACTCTTAAACATTTCATTAGATTACTGAATGGTTTTAGAACAGAATATTAATCTGTTAATAACCATGTTATATTCAATTAACTGTGTTTAACAGAGGAGTTTTATTTGGTCATATCATTGCATCGGTCTACATAGTATTCTGGTTATCTACAATGATGCTTATTACGCCTTCTATGGATTAATAGGAACTTAAAAATTCTGAGTTAATCAAACGATGTAGTGCATTTTCAGAATCCTCATATTTATGCATCTTACTTATTAAGTTGTTAAATCCCTGTTTATTAGAAAGCAGACGTGTTATTAATCAAAATAATATGAATCAGATAGCTAATTTTTCAGATTCAAAATTAATCAGGAAAATTATGGAATTTCTTACTGTTTCTCATTAATGATGATAATTTTCTGAATAATACTTCCAGTTAAACCAAACCGCTTAGTTTTCTGATAACTATTGGGGTTCAGATAAAATCAATTTAAGGATCGGATAGGCAAAAAATTGAGTTAGTTTAGTTTTATTGTTTTAAGAGGTGTATATTTACATAGCTAGGCATGTTTTTGTAGTATCTATGTCATTGTGTCGTATGAGTCTAACAATTAAATCATAATAGTAGAACAAAAATTTTAAGAAAAAGTAGGAAACATATCGAACAAAACATGAATAAATCTTATTTAGTACTGGTAGAATTTGATTTATCAATTTGCATCGTAAATGCTAAGCTGAAAGACTTAATATCAAGTTCATTGAAATTGACTTAAAGTTAGCTTATCGAATATAATTCACAAAATGAACTGGATTTAGGTGTTGTCCCAGTCAGTGCTTGTTTTTATTTACCTTACTATGTCTGTTGTTTGTTTACACTATTTTTTTCTAATCCCGATTTGTAAATAGCTTAGAAGATAGAAAATAAATATATGACAGACTCAGCTTATTTTTGAAACTTTCTCTGTTTATATTGATGTTATGGGAAGATGGATTTGGAGTATTTAATTAATCCTGAAGATTTGTAGACAAAACTCTGGAATTAACCGGTAGTATTTAGTCTATGAAAAAAATATGGATAATGAGCATCAAAAGACTAAATATATATGTCTTAAACTTTATACAGAATAGAAATGTACTAACAATAGAAAAAGTTGGCTCGGATAATAATTTTTAGTTTCCATACCTACGAATAACCATTTACTTATAGTGTAGTAAATGAAGACATTTTTATTTAATCCTTTGAATCATTTGAACCATAAAAACCTAATCACATACTCATTTAGAATTAGTCCCATACAATGAACATTTGATTGTATACACTTCCAATTAGAATTCTGATCACGTTTGTCAAGATTTATAAGACTTATAACTGCTGGAAAAATATTTTATTTGAAGTGATTTAAATAGAATCTTCATCAAGATAAGAAACATTAAGGGACTGTGTATGTAGCGCAACTACTTCCCAATGTTTTCGGTAACTAACGGTTTATTGTATACTTCATTATTTCCGCAAGTAATGCATTCTAATTAGAACTTTAAGCAAATTCATGAATTGGTTAACCATTTGCAGGAATGCGTTTGTTATTTGGTTAGATGGTTTATATTAATGCTTATTTTGACGTGGTCTTTTAAATACATTAACATCAACTGTCATACCACTATTTAATTTCCATTGGTTTTTCAGTCGATATAATTTTCTAATGAGACATATTTCATAATATTGCATTTACTCAGTACTTTACTGATTATTTTTTTACCCAAAATATTAATTTTCAAAGAAGATATGCATTATAACTGTGGCACTTATGACTTCGAATGATGGGTCTTTTTAACTAAGAGATTTACATCATTAAATTCATTAATTATTCTACTATAGTTAACTGTAAATTCAACACACCTCTCAACTAGCAGCTGAGTTAGCTGTTCATATACATAGTAGTTAGTTATAAAGGCTTCTTGAGCGATAAATCAATAAAATCTAATCATCAGTTGTATAATATCCTCGAAATTTTGGAATGTTATTTTATTATATTTATGTCTTTGAGTGGTTCCATTACCTTTGATCTGCAATAAATTTCAAAATTATGAAGGTTGTTATTCCTAACGCCTTAGTTAATTAAAAATATTTTGGGAAACACCCATTTATTTGACAAAAAAAATATGAACTTCATATCAACTTACTAATTACTTTCATCATATTCTTATCAAGAACAATCAGATAAAATATTCATCGAATATGATTCTACTCAGAACCGAGGCTTTAGGCTGGCTGCCCAAACTTATTCTTAAGTTTGTTTAAGTCAACCGACGATTTGGGAACGTTTTTCATACACTGTTTGTATTCCTTCGACCTTACATTCAATTGTTTGGATGTTTCTCCCATATATGGCACACACAGATTGCAAGAATTGTGACATTTCGATACTACAAACTTGAAATGGCCTATTTCCTGGGATACGAGTTTATTATGTCATAAACTGAATTCTATTTTCGTATTTCTACATATTAAAAGTGCTAATGAGAAAAATGAGTTTACATAAGAGATAGATAGATAGGGTAAGTAGTATTATTATGACAATATAAAAACAAGTCAAAATGAAAGATTTGTGAAGAGTGGTTAATTTGAAGATAGCCTGGATCACCAAATAAATTGAGCTAGTTAATCATTGAAAATAAGGAAATATTGGATAGTTATTTCTACTTGCTGATTTAAACGTCAAACTCCCAGAAATCCCTTATTCTTAGAAACCCATCAACGCAGATATTGGTAATAGTAACACTGACCAATAGAAACTTATGGCATGCCTAAAATTTCATCTGCCTTGTTATATCCCGATGAGAGTTATGAATGGTAACTTTCGAGAACTATTTATGGACCAATACGATACATATATTTTTTTGTATAATTGTTAAGTAGCTAAACTGTGCATATTCATGTCCTTATCATAAGCTTTATTTTGACCCATAGACTAGTATTATACGATTTATCGTTCTTGAGTTATGCCCCGTCTATTCATTACAGTCTTCCACATTCACGGTCACTTTTGGCTAGATCTTGCACAAATGTTGTGTTTCTATTTGGTAGAACGATGTGACCTGTTTGGTTTGTATATAAACCCAGTATGATCCGGACTTATAGGCAGAGCTAGGCATGAGGCAGGACCGGTAAAGACTCGAGACTGCTCGTACGGGTTTTATGCGTCATTAGTCCAATCGACAAGTCACTGTTCTCTAATTGGCGATCTCATTACGCTATACATTAATAGGGCACAACGTCAAAAGCCATAACATGTCTAGATACTGAGTAGAAGAAAATCCAAGTGTAACATTCGTTTAGCCTTAAATAAACACCTGTTTCTCTGTCCAAAACGCTGATATTATCAGTAAAGAAAATTAAGTGTTAACTTCTATTCTAGGGTCAGAATGTATGATTTGATCTTTAGAGTCATATTAATGTTGATACCTGAATTTTATGTCCGTAGCAAAAACTTTCATCATTATACAACATATTTTACTTCAGACAATCTCCACAAATCCCAACGTAGCTTAGCCTTCTATAAAATATTGACTGATACTGCACAATACTATGGGTACTACTTTAACATCTATAACTTATCAGTGGTATCACAGATGATCATATTAATACTGACAACTAATAAATTGCTATTTTTGAAGCGGTTACGAGTTCACTTGGATTGCAAACAGAACAAAGATTTGTGACCAAAGACCAATAAACTAGCTATTCTATTGCGTCCCAGCCCTGCTAACTAGAGAGAGAAATCGAAGTCCGAACGGGGAAGTCTATTCCACAAAAGCCAGGAAACGAGCGATAACAACAGACACAAATCAAAACGTATATATACAACACGAAACTGTCCTCGAGAAGAGTTACAAAATAACATACTAAAAGACACAAAGGAACAATATAATTTAAAGTTCTCCTAAGTGGGAAATTTGACATGAAGGCGAAAAGGAAGCTTTTGGTGCGAAAACAAAGAAATCCAAATTTTCTAATTAAAATTAAAAAATCAGGTCGTTTTCCAAGTGAGTTCTGGGGATCTGACGTGCACAACATAAATGTTTGTGACAACAGTCAGTCAGTCAGTTAGCTACAACGTAGGACCAGGTACATTTATGCATTGGTTCAAGTTGCCATACCTCATTAACACAACAAGATGAACACCGGATTCATAAAAGTAGTTAATTCAGAGGTAGCAATATATAAAAGAAAGATTGCATATAGGGATATAGTACAGGAAGAAAGAATTAGTTCGTAGAAAGAAAGATATGAAGCAATTTTAATCTCTTAGTTTAAGTGAAGACAGAGAATGTATACACCGACGCCATTGTGATCGATTCTGAGCCATGTCACCAAGAGTCTCCAACCATTGGTTACGATAGTCACGCGGACCCCAACCAAGTAGTCTGCATCTACCAACATGGCTCAGACTAGAAGTTAGTGACTTCAAGCACTGATGCCACGTTTTGGTTTGGCCGCCCCTAACTTTCTTCCAACCATTTCCAATACCGGATAGCATTGCACGTCGTGGTAATCGGTGTTCGGGCATACGTGACGTGACCCAACCATCTCAGTCGATGAAGATTCATAACCTCATCAACTGATTCACCATCATTCCCTAATACCCTGCGTCTAACCTCACTATTACTTACCCGGTGATCCCAACAGACGCCAGCAATATTTCTAAGACATCTGTGGTCAAATACTTGTAGCTTACGGGTGTCTTCTACTCTTAAAGGCCATGTTTCGCTGCCGTAAAGTAAAACAGAACGGACTGCCGCGCAGTATACTCGTCCTTTTATTGATAGACGGATATCTCGCCTTCGTCATAGGTGACGTAAGTTGGCAAAAGCCAATCGAGCTTTTCGAATCCGTGCTGAGATTTCGTCCGATACCAACCCATTAGGGCTGATCAGACTTCCAAGATAAGTGAAGTTGCCAACGCGTTCGACTACTTCACTCCCTATCCTTAGTTCAGGTGTTAACGCAGACCAGTCCTGAAGCAACAACTTGCATTTAGAGGGAGAGAAGCGCATTCCAAACATCCTGGCATTGTTGCTCAGTGCTACCAGAAGACTCTGCATTTTGTCAGCGTCTTCACCAAACAGGACTATGTCATCTGCGTATTCTAAGTCGATAAGTGGACCTCCTGGAAGGAGATCAATACCCGAGAATTCAGTCGACCAGAATGTTATTTCCATCAGTAGGTCTATGATGAAGTTAAACAAAAATGGAGAAAGTGGACAGCCTTGACGGACACCACTTGAGGTTGCAAAAGTAGATGACAGTTCGCCATAAGCTCTGACTGGAATAGTCGTGTTCGAGTAAAGAGCCTTTACAAGGTTTATGTACTTCTGGGGTACGCCTTTCAATGACAGAAACTGCCACAGAATCTCGCGGTCTACCGAGTCAAATCCTACATTTAAGTCAAGAAAGACCACCATTGTCGGACGCCGATGGTGACGAATGATGAATATGTTTGTAATGAATCTTAACTACTTACTAAAAATATCTTCATTCGTAAATTTGAAAGCTATAAAGTTTACCTCAGAAAACAGCACAAAGAACAGGATCATGAAGTTTACTAGAAATTCTCAAACTTTAAAAAAAAAAGTAGAAATTTTATTTTATTTTTTTCATTTAAGAAAAATGATCAGAACACGTTTCTTTCATTCACTTATTTATTTATTTTATTCTTGTTGTTGTTTCCTTTCAGTTAAAACAAAACAGTTTACTTGAATATTATTTTTTATTAATTCTACAACATTTATTTAAATCATTATTATTATTTAAGTATAATTCTATGGATAATAAACATAAACATATACATACAACATACATGTATAATACATATTATATTATTATTATATGGAAAAAATTTATTGAAAATTGTCATTTATTAATATGTTCAATTAAAACAATTCATCAAAATAATTTTCAAACATTGAATATTGTACAAAAATATAAAAGTAAAAGTTTATTAGATTTAACAAATTTTATAAATTATAATAATTATCCATGGAATATATCATGTACATATAAATCTTTCACTCAATGCTTTAGATCTAGTTTACCAATATTGAAAATTGATCAACCTATAGTTATGAATGTAAACCCTAGTAATAATAACAATAATAATAATATGGTTAAAAGTACATCAACTAGTGATTTCGAATCGATTTGTTCTGACAATGATCTAATAGATAAACATATAGAAAGTGAACATTTAACAAATATTTTCAACCGAAATATTTGTCTATCTGAAGAATTAGATACAGAAACTAAAGATGCACAAATCAAATCTAAGATAACTTTGGAATTATCAAATTTAAAATCTTCTAACAAGAATATATTTGAAAGTTTAGAGAAGATTAGTTCATCCACAAATAATGAATTAACACATTTATCTATATCTAATAGTAGTTGTTCTGTATTGTATCCACAGTTACCAATAATCTCTATACCAGCCCCACCACCATTTAATCCCCCTCCTCCTCCACCTCCACTCCCTGGAAATTGTTTTTCTTCATCAAAAATATCATTTACATCAGTATCAGATAATACTTCAACTGAAAATGAAAAATCCCGTCATCAAGAAATACAAAATCAAATAGTATCCAATACTACAAATGTAAACGAATCTAATAAACATAAGCTAAAACCATTTCGTTGGACAAAAGTTTATACATCTAAATATAATAATGTATGGAATAACAATAATTGTACATGCTCGAAAACGTCTGATTATAATGAGACTGTAAGAAGAAAACCAATCAGCTTTATTAATCTGAGCAAATTAAATGTCCTATTTGCTCAGAAGCAAAAACTTTCTATGAAAAATCCTGAAATGAAAATATCACCGAACATGGAGTTGTTTTGCCTACCAATGTCAACTGATAAACAAACAGTTGAAAGAGGAATTAATTATGACTCTTTTCATCAGGAATTCTCAGGTGAAAAAAATGTACAAGAAAGCAATTTAACAGTGCCTCCAACTTCGGATCGTAAACTACTTTGTGCTATAAATTCTTATCCCATACGTGGGAGATCACTTTCATCTTCGCGTACTATGGAGTTTATTCAAAAACATAATGAGGTAACTGTCACCATGTTCATATATATATATATATATATATATATATATCAACCATTTTGATTCCATTTGAAACGTCTTTAGAAATCTATACAAACATTAAGTAGTTAGGTCTGATTCAATGAACCACGCTGAAACAACATTTAATTTGATTATAATTCAAACCCAGGAGATTGAGGAACCCATGGATGGCCTTTAAAAATTCCTATTCTTACAAACATGTTATTTTTAAATTGAACTGCTTAAAGATGTTGTTAACAGACTCACCTAATTGCTCTTCATTGAAAAAATTACTAGATAATATAAAATTTTAGGAAGTATTCCCAATAAATGACGTAAATATAAATCTCAGGTACAAGAGAATGGAACACCAAAAAATAGTTCATCTGAGTTATAAATCTTTACATTATTACTTTTGTGACGATGATAATCAGAATAAAATTTGACACACATTCATCAGCTACATTCAGTAGCTCACATGCTGTTTTATACCTATTGCATTATAAAAAATATTAAAACTTGGATGAATTACTGCTGCATCTAACAAATATGCAGTGTAGTTTATAGTAAGACAGTTACAAACGAAAGATACGATCAGATATAATTCGTTATTTAATCCTATAACATCAGATCCATCATATCCTCTAGAACTGAAGTATTAACGGTAAAAACTTGAATAGAATACCTGAGAATATCTCTCACATTTGTCAAAGTATATTTGCTTCAGTTTTTAGCCAATAGCAAAAGTTTTCTTTCTGTGTCACATACTTCTTTAATCTTATATTTCTAATTTAAGCCCAACTTATTGGAAAGTCAACGGTGTTTGAATATAAACATTTTTCTACGTCAGTTTCGACATATTCATATAAAATTACTCGATCTGATTGATCAGTGTGATGGTAGTTTAATTGGTTCAGAACGGTTAAAAGATTTGATTAAATTACTTCCAACAGATCAAGAAATAAAGTGTTTAAAAGCATTTCAAGGTAATGTAAATTATATGGATCCTGCTGAACGATTTTTTTATGATTTAGTTAGAATACCAAAGTAAGTTAGATTATTGACAGTATAATATAATCTGTATTTCTATATATCATTAACTTCACTTTACTTTCTTCGTTATCAACATTACACTAAAACTACTTACGTTTATCTTACTGAAAATCAGCTGCCATTTTTTTGGTTTTAAGAAAATAAATTAATAAGAAATCTGGTTTACTAAGTTGATCATCTTCTGTGTTATGCTTATGATAGATAAATAACTTTTTATAACTGAAGTTTCTTGATTTAAGTACTCAGTTTTATGCACACTACGATTTTGTTGAGATGGCTTATTAGTTAAATAACAATTTAAAAACTAGATAAAACTGAGTAATAGTTTTGTTGTATTATATAACTACGTAGAAAACCATTGCCAATAAACCAACAATATTGAGCTTGGAATATATAGTTTTCGCCTCAAACAAACTTTCTTTAGTGTATTATGTTGGAGTCTCATGGTCCATACAAACTGATTCAAAAGATCAGTTTCTCAGGTGTATATGTTTGACAGTGTTGTGTTCTCTAAGCTGAATAGTTTAAGAGCGAAACTTTTATTATCGTTCTGAACAACACTTCTAGAACCCACTTTAAATAGAAGTACTTGAAGCAGTCATTCAATACATCCAATGACATCCGTCTTGTCAATCATCATTTCTCGTCAAAATTTCGGATATTGACTTCGGACTAAATATCTATTAAGTAAACGATTTTCAAATATAATCCATTTAGTCATTGGCTCGAACCTCACTTAACATACAACGATTTTCAGATGTTATTTGTATCATTAGTCATTACACGTGAGGTGTAAACCTCTGGTGTCTGAACTTTACATTATCCTATCAAGTCACATTTTTATTTAGTTAACGTAGAGTTTCTTAAGTAACGGCACTAAATAACGAATAATAAACTGACGGGACTCCAGTTTATTGTGAACGGTATGAAAGAAAACATCTTCATTAACAGAAGTGACGTATATAAAGGGAAAATGAAAGTAACTAGTTGAGAATATAAAATAAGATGAATGCAATATGTATGCAATCCACCTCGCTATTGAGCAGCAAAATCCATATGGAATCCTTCATATAGCGATGCTGTGTAACGAAAGTAACCTTGTTATCTAATTTGTGTGGTTGACAGAGATCAGATTAATCCATCACCCTTATGCTGAACTTGGATCACTAAGAGTTCACATTTCGAGGACTTAAAAATCATGACGAGCTTCCCTATGTGCATGCTTATGTACATGAATTGCATGAGTCTCAGCTTGTGGAGTTATGTATGTAGATATATGCCAAGTCTACGCACCGAGTTCATAACGGGAACTCTAGCTCGAATTTCTACAATATATCTGATAAAATCAACTGCCTACACCATCAGAGTATAATTATGCTTGTGTGAACGTCATGAAGTGCATGGGTGAAAGCCTTTGTACCATTGATATGCATGCAATGCGTAAGAGGTAGTCAGTTGTAACTAGTATGTTCTAAAGGAGCTGTAACCATCTACCCTCCCAGGCGGGTGAATATATGTGAAAGGATGTGTGTCACCGGTATGCATGTAGACCATACTTCCCCCTGGTTAGACGACCGCACACCAAGAACCGGAACTTATAAAGATTTCTACACGAAATCACATTAACTCTTCAGGTTCGTAAGCCTCAAAAAGCGGATCGTTTACCAAATAAACCGATCGGCTTAACCTAGTGGCGATGAAATAACCTCAAATAGCTAGAACACCGCACCTAAAAGAAATAAATATCTCTTGCTGATAAATGGCAGCAGTCAAAATACTCAGGTTCAGGACTTCATCTAAATCAACATTAACATTTGAACGCGAAAACTAATACTTTTGGAATTATTTTACATATTACCAGCTAAGAGTTTGTTTATTTCAGCTTGTTACCTTCGCCTTATTTCTGTTCATTTGTACGAATTTTCCTTTCCATAAAACAGATATTATCACAAAATTGATAGTATGTTGCTGAAAGAAGAATTTCAACCAACGATCAAGTGGATAAAATCATCACTAGATAATGTAATGAAAACCAGTCAAGGTAATGTTAAATTCATTCGTGACGTGTTTACTTTCATAGACATTTTAACCTATAATAATCGATTTATATTTAAAAATAGTCATTATTTACAACTATATTTCGGTTTATCTACATGATTATGACCGATAAACATGATAAACAATAGGTGAAAATGACTTATTCTGAACTAAATAACAGCTTGTGTTGTCAATATCTACTGTTGAGGATTGTGTTGTTTCGCTTTGTTTTACATAATACTTGTGAAATGTAGAAGTCTCTTACAATGTAATGTAAGGAAGCAAAGGTTTATGACACCTTATCTGATGCATGGAACGTGTTTTTTTGAACAAATAATGGTACTTCTGTTGTGAACGAGAAGACCAATTTATTGCTTAATACAAAAATTATAGAATATGTTCGTAAAATATGAGAACCATATATTAAATACTTCATTTGGACATCTTCCATCAATTGTCCTTTACATCCTGTATGATTCTTACAATTCAAAATTCCTTTCTATTTTCCTCAGTTCGATCTTCTTAACCTTCTGCTGACAAGCATTCCACTTCTGATTGGTGTTACATACTACTTAAGTTGGAAAACAAGTAGCATACACCACAATACCACTATGTCAAGTAATTTTATTGAATCACAAATGACCACTAGTTTGGTACATTTTTTTAATAAATAGATTAGAACTACAAGGTACTTTACGAATGAATAAAATCCAGGACAAATGAGATGTTATAGTCGCTCAAATCAGGTCACAATTATCATTGTAAATTAAAAGCAGTTATAAGTTTCTATGACAAAAATTAAGTTTAATAAACATTTGTAGCTACTTTAAAAGTATATGGGCGTATAATGTACTAATGTAGATTTACCTGAGCAGATTTTGGGCGTATTATCAAACTTAAAGGATAACTTTATATTATCATGAATTTTTAGATCAGTTGGATCACTACTGAAGACCAAGGAGCACTGTGCAGTCGTACCATTATAATATGGGACTTTGAAGTAATGTACACACAAAAATCAACCTACCAGTCAAAAGTTTAACTGCACTTACAGAGGTTTGAATATCCTGAGTTTGATTTCTGGCAAGATTTTAAGTGCACACTGCTGAGAATTTCCCCAATAAGATGAAATAGCTGTTCACTATTCCCGAGTTTCCAATGGTACTTCAGCTAAGGCTAGCCCATACCGAATAAGATCTACAGATTAGGCTCTCGTAAAACACCTACTTCGACTATATTAGACGTTTGATATGCAATAACATTGCTGTATTAGAGATTAAAGCTCCCAATACTAACTGTTTGCTTCCTCATCTTAAGTAAGTATTCGATAGCAGTTGATTAGTTGAAAATTCAACCAAATATAAAACGATGTCAACAAACAATAAGCAATTTGTGAACAATGTACAAACGACAAATCCAATATTAAATTATATATTGATTTTCATTTATATTTTTTTTTAGAAATACTAACATCTCCATTAATTTGTGAATTACTTCAAACTGTCTTAGAAATCGGCAATTATATGAATGAGGTAAGAGTATTTCACTGTTTCTTTTTTGATTTTTCTCATTTATTTGGTTCTACTGAAATTTTGTAACAATAATTGTATATCTAAAAAGTCTACTAACAAGTCTGGGTGCTGTACAGAAAAAGCCTATAAGTTTTATTAGAGATAGAGCAGTGAAACATTCAAATAACTAGCTAACTACAGAATCAAATACCACTAATCACTTATTTGTTACTTGAATACAACTGTGTATTTCTAGGAAAATAAAGCTTTTAAATTGAAAGAATGCTATTAACTGCATGACAAAAGTAATTAAATGCATTGGTGATTTCTTACTTATGCTCACTTAACATTTTCAGTGCATTCAACTTTATTAATACCTATCACAGAAGCTCATTGTTAGCTTCGGCTAAGGTTATACTCTTCAGAGTGCTAGAATCTTTCACTATGTTTATAATACAGGCCATCACAGTTACGACAAAGAATAAAATGGTAATTTCTGATCAAAATACTCAAAACCCTTTAAAACATTTATACATTTAAGTATATTAAGACTTAAGCTATAATGTTTTACTTGTTAATTCAATGTTGATTTTTTAAAGAACATAAATGTATGGTGTTCATGGCTATTGGCATCGTTCTCTTTGTCGAAATACGTGATAGTTTTAAACGTTTCTCCACATAAATGTCATTGTGATTTTACTTGATGAAATATTTGTTGACTTTCACTAATGAGAACAAATGACAATTGAATTTCAACAATGATGAATTGTTTTGCGAATCTTTCCAAAATCTCTTTTGTTATAACAATGATGACCTATTTATGTAACATTATCACGATTTAACTTAGAAATCACAGAGTGCATAGATTAATAATAATAGAAATAATCATGTGTTGATACTGAAGTTCTACTATATCGTCAGCGTACACACAATAGAACTACAATAAGTCAAGTCACACAGAATTAACTCTTTCTATAAAATAATAAACACTTCGAAATACTCCTAGTCGAATAAAAATATCCATCAACTCTACACAAAATTAGGATGTGTAGATTGTAATGTTTACTATATAGGACTGTTTTTTTACGACATCATAACTTGTACTAAAGAACATCTAAGTTACATAAAATTACCTCGAAATTATTCTGTAGAACCTGAAAATATTGGAACATGCTATTTCTCACAACCATCAGATCGATATTAATCATATGAAAATAACTCAAAAAGTTATTCCTACTATAATAAAGAAAGGTGAGGGGCTGAAATGTTTCATTCATAAAACATTGATATATAAATGTAGAATATTCTTTTCATCAATTCACTTCAGATTCTACAATTATTTATTCACAAAGTAACCAGTTTCAAGGCAAATGAAATACATCATTATAGCATATGAATCTAAGATTGTTTGTAATATAAAATAAAACTATTAATGATGAGATGACTTATATTCTAGATTAAATTGAATAAGTTTACACCTTAAATGAAACTGTTAAATTGTCTCACATTGCTAAACCCTACTATACTTCACAGAAACGATGGCTTAACAATCCATAAAACATGGACCATTTATCTAAATTTCATTGTTTAAATCACATTTAATTCTGTTCACATTTCACACCATTAACATACATAAAAATATTTGTATCCTACTCTTCTATATTTCAAATATCACATTTTTCATATTCATTAACACTAACGAATGCATACACAGGATCACCATAATGCTATTTAATGACACTAAATCTCCATCAAGTTACTAATAACATATCGTAAACCTCAACTACCTGAGAGTAAGAAATAAGATAAATGGACTTAAGGAATAGTTTTAATTTTCGACTATTATTATACTTAAGAAATTTCTATGTATATCATTTAAATTTTATTCTTAAAGGGTAACAATCTTGGATCAGCATCTGGCTTCAAACTTTCCAGTTTACTAAAACTTTCTGAAGTGCGATCAAATGATTCAAAATTCACTCTATTACATTTCCTTGTTCAGGTAATACATTTAATGAATGACTCACTATTGAATACTGATGTTCATTTAGTGAATCGCCTAAAGTTACTAATTTATAAATTATATTTACTTTCATAATATCTATTCTCGTTTACATTATGTTCCGTTATTGTATGGATAAAATCAAACATTTTTAATACCATGTTTACAGTTCTCAATTGAGACTAGTAAGAGTTGGACTGATATATGAAATTTTCTAGAATTAAATACATTTTTACTAAAGTAACTTACAAGACATTGATGAGAGCTCTTTTGTTTGATCTTGTGTTATAGATATTCAGATTTTAAATAAATATATTTCTGTATACAATTCAGTATCTCAGTAGCAACTAATAAAATACTCATACGTTCCATGTTGATCAGTGTTGCTTAAGTATTTGATTTATTGACATGGTATATCTAATGTACACGACTATCTGACAGTTGATTTTAATAAACGATTATTCAACTGTATGTTAGATCAAGTATCTTTAGCATATCTTCATCCTTCTGTTAACCGAAATATTCCCTAATAATCCTGGTTGAAAATTTGAGTACTTTGATAAATTGGAAGGTTTTAAAAAAAATTCGGAGATACAGAGTTCATATGAAATGGCGTCAACAACTTGAATAAAGATAAAGATTATTTTAATCACCTGTTTACAATATGCCCATTAAATAAAAAAGATGAAACAATGGAAATTAACTATTCATAAAAACATAGTTTCCACTCCTTACTGACATCAGCTGTACAACCACTGAAAACCAGGGAGAACTAAATTATTTTGATCAACGATTCTAAAATCTCAGAAATACACTTTCATCACTCTTCACAGGTTCTGATCAAGGATATTCAAATCTCACAGATTAGCTGAAAACGTGATCAATAGATTCCAACTCAAAGCTAAATCCTATGCTACCTTCCATCAGAGTTAAGGGTCCCTGTTTCTTAATCCTTTTAGGTCATATACAAGGATTCCTGCACTAGGATAAATCAATGAGAACGATTCCCTATAGTTTTTCAACTAACGTTAGTCCGTAATGTAAATGATTTTCAAGTGATATTAGAATATCTCTAAAACCAACCAACCTGACTATACTTTGGAAAAGGAACAGACTTTACACTTAGAAGACAGGAAAATGATATTAAAAGGAATATTGCATAAAATACAACTTAATTTAATTACCTAATAGCACTTTTACTGAAATTTGTAATTTCCTATTACAGATTTTATTGTCTTTTTATTTTTACTTAATTAAAAGGAGTTTAAGACAAATAATCCACAAATGTTAAGAATTACCGAAACAATACCATATTTAAAGGAAGCATCAGAGTAAGTTATACAGATGTTATTTCTAAAATATTTTGTTAACATTTCAAATTCCTCGTTTATAAGCTTAAATGAGCCAAAGAAAATAATGTACAACATTATGTTTGTCTAATGAATGTTTCATGAAAAAGGTAGTATAAGTTAAAAAATAACTGAAAAACTATTAAAAATCTTCACCACTTTAAAATAGAGATTACAAATAGAAAGAATAAGTAGTATGATCAAATAGTCACCTAGATATACATTATATTTGTCACAGATTAATCTCATTTAGAGTTTTACTTCAGACCAAGGAATATTAGACAGATGTTTCATCGCAGTATGGGGCTCCGAAACAGTGCTAATATTTTTTAAGGGGACCTAATCAACTTTTAATTTTAAAAATAATGAGCAAATAGCTAACTAATTGAAAATGTACATTACAAGAAAAACAGATCACTGCCATTTTGAATAAAAAAGTAAACAGGAAAAACACTTACTTACTTACTTACTTACTTACTTACTTACCTACTTACTTACGCCTGTTATCCTTCATGGAGGAGCATAGGCCGCGCACCAGCACTCTCCATCCTAGGCAATCCTTTCCAGTTTTTTCCAGTTGTTGTTCACACTTTTCATATCTCTTTTCGTTTCCCAAAGTAGTGTGTTTTCGGTCTTCCTCTTTTCCACTTCGCCTCAGGATTTCAAGTTATCGCTTATCTCGTGATGTAGTTTGATCATTTTCTCAATATATATCTTATCCACTTCCAACGTCTCTACCTAATTTTTTCTTCAGTTAGAAGCTGGTTTATCCTCTCCCAAAGTAGGCTGTTGCTGATGATATCCGGCCAACAGGCATTGAGTATTATGCGTAGGCAGCTATTTATAAATATTTGTAAATTTTTGTTGTTGGTTTTGGTAGTTCTCCACGTTTCATCTCCGTACAGTAGGACTGTCTTGACATTCATATTGAAGATTGTGACTTTGATATTTGTTGACAGTTGTTTTGAGTTCCATAAGTTCTTGAATTGTAAGGAAAAACACAAATATACTAAAATGTACATTTTAAATAGTACAAAACAAATGTTTTGGATTTTAATATCATCTGTAACTCTACACTATTAAATAGATAATGATTAACATATCTTATTTTTTCTCATAATATATTACCATTTTTATTACGTTTTATTAAACCAATATTTTCAGTGTATCACTTGACTTAATTATAAAAGAAATTAACCGATTCAGAAGTAGATTACAAAATATGACTCAACAATTTGATCCAGAAACATTTGGAAAACAATCAAAAATTTGTGAATTTATCGAGGTAAGTCGCGAATATCTTTTCATTCATTAGAGTTAATAGAAAGATTTAAAATTTCTTGCTTTATAGCTGTGATTCGAATTATAATATTAGTGCAAATCAATAGCCAGCTAATTGTTAGCCAATTCGTTATAAATTAGTTCACATTATCGGGATTATGAGACAAAAATCGCAGTTGATATTGAATGAATAGAGATGATCAATAGAAGAATTAAGTTTTGGTTAGTGGTATGGACTCAGCCATGTTATCAAAATATCATTCAGCGGTTTTAGCTTCGAGAGTTAATGACAAAAGCCATGTGATGCGCTAAGATATGCAGTTGAGATTCAGATTTATTGCTAGTAACAATCATTCACATAAAAAAAATGTTACGGAAAACTAAACCATGAGAAGAATGTGTGAAGAAATCTTCTAACAATAATTAATAGACGATTCTGAATATTTACGCTCATGAGCGTTTTGTCATATCATGACAAATGGTAAACAAGTTCTGGGTAGACTGAATATAATCCATTATTCTCTATGAAAAAATAATTACTGACCACCAGCAGACATTACTGCTTCACGTTGTTAGTGATATAAACTTTTGTCTTTCATCTAAACTCCAAACAGACTTTAGTTTCGTATACGTTTTCAAGTTTGCTGTGAAATCCATCATACGGATTACAGGTTCCTAATGCAATTTCAGTTATTTTATCTTGAAAATTCAGTTCAAAATCCATGTTTACGATAGATTTTAATTGGATACATCTTGATCCCTGGATAAATTTGAATCAATTTTAAATAAAGTGAGAAAAACGAGATCTGTAGATTTTACTTCTCTTGTTTTATTTCAAGTAAATGTTGACTACTTGCATGTTAATTGAGTAGTATAATATAATTCTAAAAAATATCATCAAACATATTTTTTTGCAGCAATCAAATAAAGAACTAAATGATGTACAAAAACAAGTGGAAAAACTTCAAGGATTAGAAATAGAATGTGCAAAATATTTCTGTGAATGTCCAACACAATTTAGAATTACAGAGTGCCTACAAACATTCAGTTTATTTTTTGAGAAAATGAAATCCACAGAGCAAGTACGTCACTATTTTACAAATTCTTCAATGACTAAATACAGATAAGCTTCTGGACAAAAAATATCTTGACAGAAATTTCCGCATATATTTTAACTCAAATACAAATGGGTTAACATGAGAAAATTGAAATGTAATTGTTTCTAAACGAGAAAAAGTGAAGTGAACTGAATAATTAAGGGATATTATATTTTTACTGTATGATGATTAATACTATATTGTCATGTTTTGAATATTGACGGATTTATGTTAGTCACCCTTTTAATATAACTAATAGTCTAACCAAGTTTGATTAAAACCAGATTATGTCGTTTGGTATATTTGGGGAGCGTAATTATTCATTTATTTGTTCAACTAAATTTGTCTTGGAATGTTTTTAGTCAGAAGGCCTTGAACTCGATTGAATTTACGTTTATTTGAGTTATTAAATAATAGATCACTAATTTGCAATTGATTGAGTACTACGTGATGATCACTGTCACGTATGTCAGGTCCTTCTTAGTGCAGATCGAGTCCTATCGAACAAGTTGAAATGCGGTCACCAGCCTAGGTGACTCGATATTGCGTGCACTATGTTGAGACAAGATAATGGTTGGAGGTAGTCAACAGGAAATCTTGGACCTAGGTCTCGTGCTACCTGGCACTCGTCAGCAAGGATAGGATACGATCTGCAGTAAGAACGACCTGACAAACATGACATTGATCGCTGGATGACACGGGGTCGAATCTGCCAGGGAGCATTACTTCCCTCAAGAATAATACAGGTACACCTTGTTGACGAGTACCAAGTAGCATGAAACCTAGGTCCAGGGTTTTCTGCTGACTACCTCCAACTACAACATTACTAATTATTGATCCCAACGCTTTAGGCAAATGTATCGTTCTAGCTTGAAACTAATTAGCATTAAACACTTAATCGTTAATATAAACTGGTATAGAATACTAAGCTAGAATGGTATAAATGTCCATATCATTCTGGTTTGCAATATTTCTACAAAAAATACATTTTTAAATTAAACTAATCATCTTAATTATAATATGAGTAGTTAAATCAATTTACTGCTCATCATAAAATTAAAATTAAACTAAGTAATACTAACTTACTAGTTGAATTCATGAGTCGATTAAAGCTAAACCACCATGGAAAACATGGAACCACTGATAATATTAACTAAACTTCTAAATTATATAATTCTGATTTATTCCAATTTAGGAAATAAAAGAATTTGAACAAATGAATAAAGAGAGATTGGAAAGATCAAATCAAAATGATACATTGAATCAAGCAAGTAAGATATTATTTTGTTGGATTAAAAACAATTAAAAAATATAATTATTTTCATTTTATAATTGTCAGCATATTTAAATAGTTCATGTTATGCCTTATTGGAACAATGTAAAATCATGAATGAAACTATAAAACTACATGATAGAAAATAATTTATAAATTTGAACTCATTTCATATAACTATGGCGCAATGGAGCGGTCAAACTAAAACGTGGCATCAGTGCTTGAAGACACTAACTTCTAGTCTGAGCCATGTTGGTAGATCCATACTACCTGGTTGGGGTCCGCGTGAATATCGTATCCAATAGTTGGAGACTCTTGGTGACATGGTTGAGAATCGATCACAATGGCGTATGTGTATACAAGCTTTGTCTGCTCTTAAACGGTGGGATTAAAAATACTTTATACCTCCTTTCCTTCTACGAACTAATTCTTTCTTCCTGTACTATATCCTTATATGCAATCTTTCTTTTATATATTACAACCACTGAATTAACCACTTCTATGAATCTGCTGTTCATCTTGTTGTGCTAATGAGTTATGGCAACTTGGATCGATGCACATATGTGTCTGGTTGTAAGTTGTAGCTGACTGGACATAACCACGAATTGATTGCACGAAATTTCACTTGAGCTTATATTCAGTTAAACATGCAATAACAGCTTAAATATAAACTAATATTGTATATTGAATAACCATGATTAGAGATTAATGCTTGAAATGATATTGCCGATACTTCATCGATTTAATAAGCTCTTTATAAACTTTGTCAAGAAACTATATTTAAAAAAATGTGAACGACAGCAATAAATTCAGCTAAACATATCAGTTACTACAATAAATTGCAGATAATATTTGATTTGTGTGTGTGTGTGTGGAGCAAATACATGAATATTTAATTATTAACATTATAAAATTTATGAGGAAAATAAATGACGTGATTACACCAAAAGGTTTTATAAACATATGGGTAAAGCAAATCAATTCATAATAATGAAGAGGTATTTTCAATGAATTATCATTCTTAATGATTTGTGTTATCAAACAGAAAATTATGGATATCAACCGTTGTAGCGTTATCTACAATCATTTAACTCAGCTGATGATGATACTTCATCATGAGTTAACTTAGGTACAGTTAAACATCCGATTGATTCACCTCTTCGAAATTATAAACCTATTAAAAGTTAATCATAGTCAAAAAGTATCTATCTATTGATTATTTTCTCTCTGAGGAAATGTAAAATATTTGTTATCAAAAGCGGTTGATAATACTCATTAGTATGAATATTCAGCCATGTTAAAATAACGTTTTTCAAAAGTTACGTATATGCTTACAGATATTGATAGAATTTCTTCAAACACGTTACTACATCAGAATATATGGCTAACAGAGTTAATGATAAAAAAAAGACTATATTTGTATACATTTTTTACAATATATTATTACATATATTATTAGAAAGTGTTCTAGTTTTCGTCTGAAAATGACAACAAATATAATGAATGAAATTATATGATAGTATCGTTTTAAAATGACAGTGAAACTATAATACAGAGTTCAGTGATTTCAAATAGCTCTTGTATTATATGGAAGTGTCTATCAAACAGTTCGACGGTGGCTCAATTTCGTGGGTTGGTTGAAGTTAGACATTAACATCGTTGGAAGCCGGTTCAGTGGTCTGGAGTCTAGGCGTTCGCGTGCTAGATCGAGGGTCCTGGGTTCGAATCCTGAGAGGCGGATGCGCATTGCTGAGGAGTCCCACATTAGAACGAAACGGCTGTCCAGTGCTTTCAGGTATCCCATGGTGGTCTAGCTTCTACTGACTCATGAACTCAACTACTATAATATCCACAAAACCCCTTTCTGATAATTCGATTCATTTCAATTTTCGTAGAAACAGTGCATAAAATGTACTGATAGTAATAACTAGGTATGTAATGTTATACGCTTTACTATTACTAGAATTGATTGATTTAAATTCACTTTAATGTGCTAAATGGAAGATTAATCAACAAAATTTCCTTGGTGTCTTTGAGGTACTGCTCATGTATCGTGGAACGACAGGCTGAAGAATTTTGACATTAGGAATAAGGCACTAGGTGAAGATTTGAAACCAGCTGAGGTAGTTGGGAAGCATATTACTTATACATGACCACAATCTAGCTAGACGGATGATTTGTAGAAGTAGTCTGGAAGACCAACGGTGACTAAACCAAGACATGACATCAGTCCATTAATTCGCTAACCGTTGGCCTAATCCATGTTGACAAGTACAAAATACCTGGTCAAGGTCCACATGATGATCAAAACTACGTGCGGACTGTAGGTGACATGGCTTAGAATGAGCCACAATGGTGTAGATTTATTCATTATTCATCCTCCTATCGATCTTGAGGTCCTGCACTTCAACCGTTTTCATACCATGTTCTTAATGTTTAGTCCTTTTCATTACCACCACTATTAAGCTTCTTAAATACCTTTGCTACACATCTTATTACTTTCATGTAATTGTACTATTGTGGTATGAAAGCCTGAGTCAAATCACATTTGAGCTACGCTCTATGTTGATGAAACTGCTAATAATAGTATTTCAATTACCAATCACAAATATTCAGTTGATTTGAATGTTCTTCCGTCCTTTATCTTTTCCAGATACAAAATATAATCATAAAAACAGTCGAATAGCAGAGGATAAACCAAAATCAAGCCATGATGATCATAATACAATGATGAATCTAATTTCTAACAATATATCAAATCCTAGAGTAGTACACAATCGATTAAGAAGTCGTTCTAATGCAAATAAACTTAATTTTTCAAACTCTTCAAATTCATTATCTAAATTCACCAAAGAAAATAATAACCTGAATAAGGACAAAGGTAATACAGATGAATTGAATATGGTCTCAAAACCTACTATTTCACATTCTACGTCAGTGTTTGAAGTACGTGATTAACACCACAGTATCTATGTTAATATTTAGATAATCTTTAATTCATTGACAGAATAGAACATGTTATACGGAATCAAAATTTTACACTTTGTATTTTGAAACAGCATAGTTTACAGTTATAAAATAATAACTCAGTGATTAAGTACCTTCTTAATGATTCGGTGTAGCAGTAGCATCTACATCAGTCAACCTCAACATACACAAGGGAAAAAGCGAGATCCTCAAATACAACACGAAGGACACAAAACCAATCACACTTGATAGAGAAACTCTGGAACAGGTTGAAACGTTTACATAACTGGACAGCATCATCGATGAACAACGAGTATCAGATGCAGGCTTAAAGGTAAGGAATGGAAAAGAATGTATAGGATTACTACAGTTGAAGAACATATGGAAGTCAAAACAACTTTCTGCAAGCCAACATCAGTCACAATCTTCAGTGTGAACGTCGAGACAGTTCTACTGTACACAGATGAAACTTGGAAAACTACTTCAATCATCATCAAAAAATACATTTGTAAATAATTATCTACACAAAGTACTCAATATCCGCTGAATGGATAGCGTCAGCGATAGCTTACTGTGGGAGAAAAAAAACCCAGCTTCCATCTGAAGAGGAGATTAGGCAGAAACGTTGGAAGTGGATAGGACATATATTGCGAAAATTAACCATCTGAATCATAAGGCAAGCCCTAACATGGAATCCTGAAAGGAAACAAAAAAAGAGGAAGACCAAAGAACACATTACGCCCTAGGAATTGGAAGCAGACATTAAAAAAATGAATGCCGACTAGAGACGATTGCCTAGGACATAGTTCGATGGAGAACCCTGGTCAGCAGAATGTTCTCCACGAACGGTAACGTGCGTAATTAATAATTCGGTAACATTGTTTTTTATTGTCTAGGCAGCCGGACAGTGTCACCGAATTCCACGCCAAAATATATGTTGATCAAAGCTGAGTATAATATGAATTTGTTTACAGTTATTGATTGAGGTGAACTATCAATATAGTTCAAGCAAAATATATATTTGAGTTTGAATTCAGCAAAAGATATTTACTAGTTAGCTTACTTTCTTTTTGAAATTTCTTCCAACAATTTTTGACTGACAAATCCCTAAAACTCAATGAGTGTGAGTAGTAAAACTCGTGAATTTCAAATTGTTCAAGCTATAGAGGAGATTATTAAATCGCTCGAACATCAGTAAAATAGTATACTGAACTAACCGAACAATGTTTAGTCAAACTAAAGACTATTATCGTCGTAAGTTCAAATGGAAATAATAATATTAATATATGTACTGAAAGCAAACCTTTTCATCTTAATCAGCTAGCTGTCTGTTGGATGTCAACACTATATATCTTTCTAGACAATTAAATGAAGGATTTTACATATAGTATATGTGGAAATTCCTAGACACCGAATTATATAAGACGGTGAATATATGTAGTTCATTCACGACTATCCAAAAGTTTAAAATAATACTCAATTTCTTCATATTAATTTTTCTCATTTTAACTTAGCACTTATCAACAAACACAAATGAAAAGCACAATAATATTAGAATAAGATCACGTCAATCAGTTGGACAACATCGTATGAATACTAAATTTCAAATAATTAACAATGAATTTGAACGTGAACGTAGGCCATGGTCACAGATAGAAAATCAATCAATTAATTCTCCCAAAAATGAAATTAACCAACAGTTAGATGAATCGAAAGCCAATCAAAGTAGTGATGAAGAGACAGTATATCGGTTGAATGAACGAATTAAACGATTAACATTAAAATTTAATAAAAGCTAATGTTACATACACTAACAATATACCAAGATTATCATTTTATTTTAGAATTTGTAGTTTTTATTCATGATTATTTAGTAAATTTTAAAAATAAACCTTTTTTTGACGATGCCATTTCAGATTAAAGTAAGCATAACTATCTAGATATTCTTTAGTTCGAAGTTTTCTGTAAATGAGTCTTATTATATTTCACTTGTGTGGTCATTGAATTTACCATAGATATTACCTGTTAGTGTGTTTTACCACTGTTTTTGGAACAGCTATATCAATGATATTGTAAAGTAATATCATATACTGTAATATTACTGAATAGATTTGGCTTTCGCCAGATTTATGTTATTTTTATGGGGTGTGTTGTTCAGATTTACTAGGTTCCTGATAGTATCTATGATAGAGACAAACGCATATTCTCATTAAAGAATGATTATACTTCCAAAATGTGCTACAAAATGAGTGGTAATCTCTTCTCGAACCTTTCCCCAAAATGTTGACGGCGAGTGTCTTTTCACATCAATCATTCAGCCGGTTTTGGAGGTTACTATGTCAGACGATCACCCTCCTCCTACTTTACCTTGGTGCTTGCTACAACTAGACAGTTGCCTGAGCCTAGTTACAGACTATAACTGTTACCTGAGCTCGGACGGTGAAAGACCTTCTTAAGTGTCCTTCAACTCAGTTTGGTCTTTATAACTGGTCACTAAGGTGAACTACTACCATTACTACACCTAGGTACATAGTGTTCTGGAAGGAAGTCAGAAATGTTCCTATGAAAAATCATAATTGTTTCATTCAAGCTCATCAGTGTGAGTGTAAGGACAGACTACCAAAAGAAGAAAGCGTGTCCACATCTTTTCAAGTGTTACCATCCTGCTTATTTTGGCACCGCATAGTTGCACTCATCATATTGGCGATATTGTCAACGCTAGTGATTGTATAATTGAATGTTATTCCCATTAATAAGACATTTTAAGCATAAACACTGGCATTTTACCTTTACACTCTTTCTGATGTAGTATTCGGGTTCATGTAAACCTTCTAACGAACTTTTTATGATTTTTTTGGGCTAGGGAAATTGCATATAAAGAATGCTATTTATTAACAGACTCACTAATCATTAAACGAAGTAAAACGCTAAGATTATTTACATTAGGAAGAAGGAAAATATATAACTCACTAATATAGTTAAATTTGTTAGTTACGGGAGCTAATCTATTGCCTTTGTAAACTAAATACATAAATTAACCTGCTGATTGATTAATGTTAATTACCTCCTGTTCAATGCATTCAAATTTACTCATTGAACAGATATAATCATAAATATTTCGTTGTACGTTTTAAAGTCATCTTGACCAGTTTTTGATCAACAACAAGTTGTACATAGCTGTTTATTTCGCAGAAGTAACAAAAAACCATACCACCACCAGCGTATCAACATTTTGACAAAACATTACACATTACGATTGAGCCTAAAGATGTTTTAAACTATGAAAAAATATATATTAAAATAGCAACAAGCTCTTCCGAATTCATACCTAATCTTTTTATCGGGAAAAATAAATACACTAAATTTTCTGTATATAAACTAAATTTAGACTAAAGCGTTCTTTACGTATTACGCGCCTTTTCTCTTGTGTTCAGGTTGTCGTGCAGAATTAGCCCGGGATTCTAAGAAGAGCTTAGAAAACCGATTCAAGCGCGCAGTCAGATTTATCAGTTCCCATAAAAATGATTTTGGAATAAAGAATTAATACCAAAAGAATATTTTATAATCAAAAATTTATAATGCATACATAATCAAACTCCAAGCTGTTCATTGACACTTACTGGACATTTTAGGCGGAACTGAGATCATATATATTTTAATGCTTAAGTTTTACTAGAACAAACTACAGCGTTGAAACAACAACAATCAGAGCAAAAGAAGTCTTTTTCTTCTTAAACTCAAAAGATTTCAACACTATGATATTACAAACAGTACCAAAATTTTAATATAATTTTATTTGCAATGTATTATATTTGAGTGATATATCTGCTCGAGTAGATAAATATAACAGTCTAAGTTAGTTGGTATGTGTGTATGGGTCCATATATATATAATGATAAAAGGAAAGTACTTTCAAGTGTCGCAACTATTACAGTCAAAAGTATTCAAGACTGAACAGTGATTAAACAACAATAATAACAGAGATCAAGATCTATAGTTTACAAATTAAGATTTTTGATAGTGTTGTATCATCATATTAAATCTTCTTTGTTTCCACTTTTAAGCACAGAATTAAAATGAGTTTAAAAAATGCATTAGGCACTTTACAATAAACCAAACAAAACGAAAGCAATCAACAACACAAAACATACAGATGCATCTCTCTCTCTCTCCATATATATATATATATATATATATATATATATATATATATATATATATGCTAAATGGCGTAAGCGTTAGGTAAGAGAGAAAATGTTTATTTCAATATACACACACAAACACATTCAAATGGAGGTGGAAATAAGAACAAAAATAATAACAGTTAATAAATTTCTTCCTATTTTATGTATATGTATATGGGTAGATATCTTCATCAATAACTCCTTCTGATTCTACATTGTCATTTTCTTCTTCTTCGTCGTCATCTAGAAGAAGACGATTTAGGTATGTAGGAAAAAATGTTTTGAAAAATAAAATAAATTGAAAACTCATCATTTGTTTTCCATTATACACAAATAATATCTGTAACATTTTCATGATGACATCATGTTATTCCACCGTATTTACTTAATAGTTCATCACATATTTTAGTTAATTCTTCATTTTCACGAGTCTGGAAATAAACAATGAAATACGATTGTAAATGACTATAAAAAGAATAAGCAATCAAAATAATGACAACAAAAAATTGATGTTATTTTAACCACAATGTACTTTCTATGAAGTCAGATTTTACCATAAGAAGTTACGTTAAATTCATTAACAATATGACTTGTACCTTCCGATTTAGCAATAAGGTCAGTTATTTGTCTATGTTAGATAATGGAAATGTGGATTTTGTGATAAAAGGACTCGGTTACCAAGATTTAAGTCGCATGTTCGAATCCTGACCCAACTAATTCAGCTTGAACAACCGAATAGAATTATCATCTCAAAGATGAATATATAAACGTGTACTTAGTGTAAGTTATAGCGTTTTAAACAACAAGGAGGCCATACATAACATTGATAATTAAACATGCTGAAGATAGGATATTGACAGATCCGAACAGATGATTACAGTAAGCTAAGATAAATGATTCAAAAACAATATCCTACCAGTGTAACTGCCAAACAATAGCACCACACAAAGTTATGTTAGTTGTTACTCACCTATTTTTCCATATAACACTGATGTAAGATCATAATTACCTAGAAATAATGGGACTGGCATAATATACCTATTTGAGCTTGTTCCCGAAATGACCTGCGATAGATGATGGAAGTAGGATTCCTCTCTTCCTTATGATGGCACGTCAGTTAGTTACTTCTAAATGCGTTTCGAACACTGAGAAGAGCGTTTTAGTAGACCATTTAATTAGTCTGTTGTTCTAGTGATGCAGAACAGACAGTCATATACTCTTTGATCGATGACTGCTGATCCTCCTAATGATAGAGAGGTCATAGGGGACTCCAACTTCTGAAGAGTCATGATTCATCAAGTATCGACGACTTATTACCAGCCCATTTCAAAGATAATCGTGAACTTGTTCGAAATAAAAATGGGAAAAGTAATGTTCTAACTGAGGATGAAACGATCATTGGTCCTTAACATTCCATATATTGTAGAAAGCTCATGAAAGATTAACTGATGAGAGAGTCGGTACAATGACTACCAAAATTGTTGCAGATAAACCAAATAAATGTATGAAAATAATGTGCAGTAATCTCAAGAACCACTATTTCGAATACATTATTTTAGTCATAATAAATCTTCGTTTTTGAAAAAAATTCCAATATTCTATAAAATCTGAAGGTTCATTCAACTGAAAATTCTATAGGCGTGATATGATAAGAACGAATTTCTCCCACATCTGACAAGTAAACTCATCAACATGAAATGTTTATATGCAAGATCTATAAACTTCCCTAAAATGATTATTTGGTTTCAATTTGTGTTGATTGAAAAAGAAAAATTAAGGATACCTAAATAAAGTGAGAAATACTAGCTATTTTGTAGTACAATTTGTGAAATTCCATGTAATTCAATCACCACTAAATATAAATCTGAGTATTTGGATCAGTTTTGACTGGTAGTTTCTTTTTGTGTGTGAACTACTGAAACCTGTTTCCTACACATAAATCCCTTTATTATCTTAATGAGAGTAAAAACAAAGATTGATACAGAATAATATGAATACATTTTATGTCGTTAGGTTCACATCATCTACTCACAACGTATAATATTTTAAAATCAAACTTATTACATTTGTTGATATATTCATAAATGCGACGGTGATTAGAAATGAATATGTGTATCATGATGCGGCGAAGATTTCAATAGAATTAATACGATTATAAAATATTTTGTTTCAGATAAATAAATAAAGTGTTTAAGGGAAAGATTTTAGAACACCGAACTAGTGACTAGAAAACAGAGTTGACAAACTTTAGATGGTTGTGTAATGAAGTAACTGAAAACAGGTTAGTGCTATAAAAGAAAGATAAGACTTCAAATCAGTCAGTTCTAATCAAAATTATAAATGAAAGAAAAATGACAATGATGTAATCAAAACTTGAGAAAGAGTTGAAATAATGAATAATGTTCTGTAATTTTCTCTCCTATACATTATTTATTCATCTGAATCAAAATATTTTATGATCTTATTAACTCGATTGGAATCTTCGCTACATCATGATACACATATTCATTTCTAATCACCTTTGTATTTATAAATATATCAACAAATGTAATAAGTTTGATTTTAAAATATTATACGTTGTGAGTAGATGATGTGAACCTAACGACATAAAATGTATTCATATTATTCTGCATCAATATTTGTTTTTGCTCTCTTATTGATACTTGGTTAGTAAAAGCAAATAACACGGAGTAAAGTTTGTTTTTATCGCATAAAGTATGCACACGAAATAATAATCGGGTATATATACGGCACAATCATTTAAACAAACAAAAAAGAATCACTGGATGGAAAATAACACTACAGAAAGGTTTTCAATGATGTTTTGACTAAGGTCAGTTTCTGATTTAAACTATGAAAATTCTACAATCAATAAAAATCACCCTATGCTAATAACAATCATGTGCTCATTAGTGATCGGCTTTAGGATGTAACTCCTGGAGTTCTAGTGAAAAGCTGTGACCAGTGAAGTTCAACCATATCGGGTGTAAGATAGTTACCCACTTTAGGCAATGAATGAAGGTTGCGCAATATCGTGGATTGATTGAAATTAGACATATACACCGTCGGATGACGACTCGGTGGTCAAGAGGTTAAGCGCTCGCATGAAAGATCGAAAGCCCTGGATTTGTGGATTTTAATTGCTGGGGAGTCCTATGATCGAACGAAAAAGCTGTTTAGTGCTACTATGTTTCAAAGGCGGCATAGATAAGATCACTTCGTGATTTAAACTATGGAAATTAAAGTGTAAGACAGTTTTTTTACAAATAAAATTAGTGAACGACAAAATAGAATCAAAAGAGAATGAAAACCGATAATTTTATTGAGGCATATAGTGGTCATTTTATTGACAAATTTATGTTTACAACAAAGTGCGGTGTAAAATCAAAAATATAAATTACCACATACCTTTTGCTGTAACTGAGATTCAAGACTCTTAACCTGAAGTTCAGAAATTCTTAATGAAGCCTGTAATCGAGTTAGATTTGTTTCATATTCTTGTTTTATTCCTTCTGTGTCTTGATTTACTCTATTTACAAATGGAAAAATATATTTAAAATGTAAATTAAAATGAACTTCGCACGTCATATTAAGTAAATATATACGATTCAGTTACAATATAATAAAATGTGGGTAATCTGGATGGACTTTTGTTCTCTGAGCTGGGTAGTTCGGTTGTGAAACTCTTAATATCTTTCTAGAGGACATTATTAGAACAGGCTTCAGATAGTTGTGAGTTAGTAGGATTCTCTGTATACGACTGCCAATGTGATCAAAATTGACAAAACAAACGTTCGCAACCATTGGATAAAGTAATGGCGTGGACTCCAACCAAGTAGTTTGAACCAACATGGCTCATAAGCAAGGATGGATAGTGGCTAGCAGTGGAATCCAGGACGCGCGTTTCGTCCTGTTTGGGACTCGTCAGCTGGATGTACCTGCATCTCAGAGTTGATGTTCACTCTGGGACTCGAACTCAGTACCGTTCGCTTCAAACGCCATCGCGTTATCCACTTAGCTTCAACATGGCTCAGTTCAAAAGTCAGTAACATTGTGAAATGATGCCACGTATTGGTTTGGTCACCATCTAGCTTTCTTTCAGCCCACTCTAACAAGCATTGCTCATCGCGGTAGGCGGTGGGTGGACATAAGTAATACGTGTCCCAACAACCTGAATCGACGAAGAGTCACTTTTACATCAGCTGATTTGCAACCTTCACCTGTTATCCTGCGTTTAACACCAACACTGTTCGCTCGATGATCCCAATATGTATGAGCATTGCTTCGAAGACATGTTGGGTTATATATTAGTAGTAAAATATGAATGCCCTCTACTTGTTAAAGCAAAGTTTTAGTCAAAAATTAAAGTAGAGCGAATTGCTGCCCAGTATACACGTTCATTGGCAAACGGACATCTCACCTATGCTACAGGTAACCAATTCTAATAAAAGACAAGAGAGTTTTGCATATCCGTGCTGAGACTTCGTCAGATTAATTGGTCTGCCAAGGTAAGTAAAATGGTCGAGAGGCTCAAATACTTTACTCCATATCACCGATTCCGATCCTGACCCAGACCAGTTAACAAGCTACTCAAGACCTACACAGACATTAAGCTGGACATACAACTAAGCAATCAATGCCATATTTTACTACTCAGTATAAGATAGAATATTTTATATTACTAACGGCTACTCACTTTAACAACTGATCTTCAGCGTGTTTTTTCAAAGCTAAATATTTTCTTTCCTGACGTTGTAATAAATTTTTATACTCATCGATGCTCTTTTTTAGAGCCTCTTCATTCTGACAAATAAGGAAACAAATATTGTAAAAACGATTTAAGAAGTACAGTAAAAGTACGGTCAGGTTAGATAATACTTGGAAAAAGTACACAAATTTTACAAATGAAAACAGATAACATACGTCGTTTTCTTTAAGAACAACAATAATGTGTTAGATGCACTTCATAAATTTCTAGAAATTTACTTTACTCAAAGTATTACAAGAAATTTAAAGTCAACAACCTAAGGAAAAAGGAACTACTAATAAAAAACTAAATGATACAAATAAAAGTAAGCTCGACATAGCATAAACATGATCCGATGTTTTCTCCTTAAACTATACCTAGATACAAAAAGAAATAACGAAACATCGTTTTATGCTGTTTACTGTAGTCTTCAATCTAAAGTTAACCAAGATTAAAATCCTATTGCATACGCAGAATAAATAAAAAAAAATTTGATGAAAGAACCTATAACTTTAATTTCATAGGATTTTTCTAGTTAGAATAAACAACTAAATAATATTAAACGAGTCAAGGCCACCTGTTGGAGATAGTCACCAGTAAACTCTGGATTTGCGTTTTACTATATTTAATACTTATGAGTGAGGTGTATCTGTATTCTTAAGGAAACTGACCCATTCCTGTGCATTCAATCTTGCATCACCTAGTTCAATAGTTTGAGATGTTACTGCTGAGTTATTTGAGCTGAGACACACTCTTATGTAGGACTAAGGGATATTTACAATCGATTGGTTATTGAGCAGTGATCAACGTCATGTTTTTATTTAGTTCGTTAACGCTAATTGAATTATAACGATTTAGTTGCAGTTCGAAGGATATAATTTAATCAGTACTAAAGAATTAAACAAAAACATTACAGTGGTCATTGCCCAGTGACCAATCAAATGTAAATAAGAAATCAATAATTTCTTGCTCCACTCACCCTTATAAACAACTAAATGACAAAGAATTAATATCAGTTCGGGCTTGTGGATATTGTTAAATTTCAATGAAATCATAAATCAGTCTACGATAGACCACCAATGATAACCCGGAAGCACTGGACGACCATTTAGTCCTAGAATCAAACTTCTCAGAAATGGGCATTCATGACCGCGCACGCGAAAACCCAGGACCTTAGATCTCGACAACTGACCCAGCACTTCGCATGACGGATGGTGGATGGATACTGCTGAAGAGTCCCATACTAGAATAAGACAGCCAAACAGAGCTTCCAACTTTTTAATGGTGATTTAACTCGGGTCGATTATTGATTTCAATAAAATTAATATAAATTATTCAGTCTTTTAATATGACGGTAGTTTTGGTTTCAAAAAGACGACCTACTCGGGAGTACAGTGAAGTGCAGTGTGTGTAACTAGTGGTTATCATTTCACAAAAGGTATATGGAATTATAATTATGTCTATTTAGAACTTTAATGCTACATCATTTGATTTTACACAAGAAATCAATGGAGCGAACAAAAGTAATGACAAAGCCTTATTTAAAAACGAAAAACTGGTCATTAATGAAAGACGAGAACAGTTTTTCGTTTTTAAATAAGGCTTTGTCATAATTAACTAAGAAGTGTTTGCTGATCCTTGAAACGAATATAAAAAATTAAAGAGGTAATTAGTTATTGACATAAACACCTATAAAAAGACAATACAACGTCAGCTCAGCATGCAACACACTGATTTAGAATATCAAATGTACTTCATTTAAAGTAAAAAAAGAGTAAGGAATAGTTTACATACATAGAACAACTAGAATGTTGTAATAGTCCTCCACAGAAGTACAAATTATGGACGACATAATGTTTATTAAAACAAAAGCAGAATAAAAAAATCAACATAAAGAATACAAATGATGAAAAATGGAAGTAATAAAATATATAACATTACCAAGGTTTGATTTGATAATTTCGAATAAATTGAGCATTGGGTAGATTGTTATAAATAAATAATATATTTGTAATATTCCAATGAGTAGAAAAATTAAATTTTCTGACGTTTCGTGACTTAGTGCAAATTACTTCTTCAGAGAATAAATAACCAAAGTAAAATTAATCCAACTTTAAATAGTATGTCAGAAATTCTAATTTTTCTACTCATTGGAATATTACAAATATATTATTTATTTAAAATATATAACAGTTTAAAAACAAAAGAACAAACCTGTTTAAAACCTTCTATAATTTGTTTCGATTTCTCAAAACGTCTGTGTAAATCCCCAAAAGCTTTCTCAATAGTAGCTAACTCTTCTACAGCTTCATCACGTTCTTTAATTAAATCAGCTACTGGAATATTGACTTCTCTTTGACTATGAGCTTTCTCTTCAACCATATGCTGTAAACTACGATCATACTCTGTGATACAATGTCTGTTAGGACGTAAGTAAACATATACACATACTTATATAAATAAACATGAAAAATGATCTGAACAAATAAGAAAGTCAGATTAGCTGGTTAAAAAAAGTCCTAGACCGGACCGCGCCAACGAACGACTTCTCTTCCGGGCCCACAACAGTGTCCTTAGGACTGCTCCATCTTTTAAGTTTTCTAATAAATTATATTTCACATTTCATACTTGAACTCGATTTAGTTATTTCACAGTAATCTAATCCCTTTTAGATGTAATTCATCAATGAATTTCCCATCGAACTAACACAAAAAACTTCATAAACTATCAAACGAATAAAGCTGGTAAAAAGATAGTTTATTCTGTTGACTACGATAACTTCTAGGAATTACTACAAGGACATGTAAATTGATTCCAGTTAATTTCACAATACGAATACCATCCGTAGGTCGTGAACAACATAAGGTCATTTTGGTTAGTTTATACTTAATTAACAGTTTATACGAAATTTTACAATATAATGCCTACAACACTCGAAGGAAACATAATTCCATATAAAGACGTTTTAAGAGTAATTATCAATAGAAAAAGCGATGAGACTGACATTTATGGACGACCTTTGAGCGACGCTAAAGTGACCTTGAAAATGTCCACCTACTAACTAGAACTAAATGACGCTTATAAACCAGTGTGAGGAATTAGAATTATGATTTACAGTTAATGTTTAGGGTTAGAAATTAGATTTAAGGTTTTCATCACGAACTGACATCGGTTAAAATGCCGAAACGCTTTTTAGCCAAATAGATAAATGAATTCCGAACCACATTCCAAGACCTGTTATCTCAAATTTGATTTGTTCGACCATAAATTATAATCTCACCAGAAAAACAAGTAGTATAAGCAAACACTTACTTCATCTCTTCAATTGTAGTTAAAAGTTGATCTCGTTCCTTGCGTAGTGCAATTAATTCTGTATCATTTGATTTAGAATCTCGTGATGATTTAAACGGATATTGAGGAGGTAGCTGAGAGTTTTCTTTTCCATTTACTAAAGGTGTATCTGACTTGTTAAGCATTCCAGCTTGAGCTGGTGATGCTGGTCGAGTTGATGAATCAATACGTGAAGTCTACATATTAAAAATGAAAAACAGATCACTTTTAGAAATGAACATGATTTCTAACCGAATTGACTAAATTTTATTATTATTCAAATGTAGAAATAATGTTATAGACTTTATAAAAAGCATAAGAATACAAATCTTATAAAAATTTGACAAATAAGCTACAAAAACAGTTCATAATGTGAGTAACTTGCGTGAGACATCGTTCAGTTACAAATAAATGCATCAATAATCGTATGATAGTAATACAAAAAACGTATATACAAACAAATAGAGTAGAACTTTATGGTAATTTCAAGACAAAAAAATATAGAATTAAAAATCAAATGATTGGCTGATCGAATATAAAATTTATGCTACGAAATTTAAGGGCATACGAAATAAGGTCAATATTTTACGGAACATTATTTCAACAGTAACATATACTTTAAACCATATTACTATAGTCCAAAACTTGAGAAAGTTTAGAAGTAATCATAAAACGAGAAAACTTAGACACTAATAATAAATTCATAAAAATTTTTACTGAATGTAACACATCAATTATGTACAGGTTAATGGTACTTAGCCTTCAAGCACACTTCTTGGTGTGAGGGCTAATTAATCACACCACTTAAGTAGTCATGTCTAGTTAAATGAAAATTGTTTTAAACTCTTCTAATTACTAGAAACCTTGACATCCAACCACTACGTCCCATGCTCGAAACCCATTCTAAGCTGGTTAGTCACATATAACATTAAATAAAAGAATACTACGAAAAAATCAGCCTGGTAAAATAATGGTATATTTTTAAACTTGTTTAAATATCCAGAGAAAAGATTTTTTCGATGATTTCATTTACTTAAGCTGTATAATCGTATCCGTAGTTCATTTACCTGCAAACAATGGTAATTCATAGTAAAATATAGAATGGTCTCAACCTTTCTTTTTATCTTCGATAATCTTTCCGATAACTTTTCACAATTACTAACTAACCATTAATACAGATTTAGTACTCAGTTTCTATTCAGTAGGCAATTATCTTCACCTGAACGTTTGTCATTAACCGCTGGATTATTACATAACATCCTTTTGTAAGCAATTTTTGACACAATACCATATAAACTTTATTTTTATTATTCAACACCATTCTGTTTCATTATAGATTACCATTTTTAGTAAATAAACTAATTGTAAATAGGATTGTACAATTTCAGTAAATGGAATCACCAAAAAGCACATTTTCACCGCTGAATTGTCTTTAATCTTTTTTAAGAGTTAACAAATAACTATTTAATTTAAAGCTAGTCAAAATTACAATTGATCAGGTGTTATATTGCATAACATAATAACTTCTTATTGATATTCTACATAAGTTATATTTTTTACTAGTATAAAATGACATATATCCTGCTGTTAACGTACTGCTTAGCAGTTCGGTTCCGTTATACTTGGTAAACGTCAAGAATTGGCACTTAGAATAGAAGATATTCAAAGGTTACTAGTATTCGACCAAAATTGTCATCAACGCATCTTTTAATTATTTTGCAACTACCAAGTGAACAATCTCTGCGTTAAAGATAGGGTATCAGGTAAAAATGATAACTCGATTGATGAGGTAGTAAATCTCCGACTGAAGTGGTTTGGACAGATGTTGCGTAGGTCTGACCACATCCTACATCGAAGGACGAAGTTGTCTGGTGTAAGAGTACGTTGGAAGAAAGCTAGGAATGATGAAAACAAGACATGGCACAAGTCCATGAAGTCACTGACAAGTGGACTGAGTCATGTTGGTAGGTGTAGACTACTTGGTTGGGGACCGCTAGTTGATAGCAACCGATAGTTAGAGACCCTGAATGACATGGCTTAAAATCGTTTGCAATGGCGCAGGTGCATCCACTCTTTGTGTTCTCCCAAATTTTGATCTCCTTAGTCCTCGTCTCTTTTTTTTCTCTTCCCAAATTTATTTCACTGTATTATACTCTTTAAATAACGTCTCCAAACACTAATTTTCCTGATTACTGCTTATACTCTTATTGCCTTTACTACTACGGGATTTGAATCGACCACTGCATCTCTGTGCTAATGTAGTGTGGCAACTCGAACTGATGTACGTACGCACGAAGTTCTAAGTTGTTACTGACTGACTGACCTGGTAGGGGTATGAGAAATGACAGTAAACGATGGTTAGAGACCTTGAGTGACATGGCTCGAAATTATTTGCAATGGTGCTGATGCACCTACTCTTTCCTTTCCCAAAGATCTTAAGTCTCTAAATTCCTCATAATCATTTTAATTCACTAATTTATATTTTCTTGAGTCGGACCTTCCATGCCATTTTTTCCCATTACCACTTATACTGTTGTTACCTCCACCACTCTGGGATTCACTTTAAAAATTTCACCTCCCTGTGCTAATGGGGTATGGCAACTTGAACTGGTGTATACATGTGCTAGGTTCTATGTTACGTTTGACTGTCTAACTGACAGTTGATAATTAAGTTTAACGCTTGTTAACTGTTATTCAATAATTTTTTGAGATCAAACAACAGAGTAGGAATTGGAAACATATGTTACTTCGAAAGCTAATATTTGACCAATATATTTCAAAGAACGGATATTAAAAATACATAGGAAGGAATTATGGAGAATATATATAAATATATTAGTATTAGTAACGTAAAATTTTTTCTGGTTAGCGCTTTTTTGCGAGTTAATTTTCTACGGGATGGGGTCGCTAACCCCAGCGGAGGAAGAAATTAGGAAGCGCTGGAAGTGGATAGGACACACATTGAGGAAAGCACCCAACTGCGTCACAAGACAAGCCCTCACATGGGATCCTCAAGGCCAAAAGAAAAGAGGAAGACCAAAGAATACATTACACCGGGAAATGGAAGTAGACATGAGAAAAATGAACAAGAATTGGGTGGAATTAGAAAGGAAGGCTCAGGACAAAGTGGGTGGGAAAATGCTGGTCGGCGGCTTATGCTCCATTAGGAGTAACACGCGTAAGTAAGTAACGTAAAACTACAAATACTTTATGTTCAAGGAGAATTTCGAATATTGCCAAAACTTAGTAGTAGATAACTGATATTTCCATATTCTATCAGCTGATGTGACACTATAATCTAAATCACATGGTATCGTATGAGCTAACACTGTTACAATGCATTCGTTCAACTAGATAAAATTACCACCTCAGTATGTTTGACAGATCTTTAAAGGTCAGTGTAGATAATCCATGTTGAGTATTCCATCTGATTGACAAGTGGATTTGACCGTTGTTTGAATTATAAAATCCTTTCTGATTAGTTTATGATAAACTTATGAATTATAAAAGATAATATAAAATTACACCGAAATCTAATTTTACTTAATAGCGTTTTTATTAACTAAAGAATACACAAACCAACTCACCACTAATAAACTTTATGACTGTATATAAAACAACACTTATAATAAATAGGACAGTTTCTCCCACTTGAAAATAGGAGTAATCGATTCTTTATGCAATAATCTCATATTTATGTTAGAGGTGCTCATTTATAAATAATATCAGGTTTATATAAAGTCAGAATGAACAAAACACTTTCTTCCAATCAGATCTAATCATAAGACAATAAATCCATTGTTTTATTAATAAACAATTTAAAACTACGATTGGTTAAATTATTGACAATAAGCAGAAGTCATTGTATATATTACAACGATAGGTAATTCTACGTAAACAACACAACAACTGTGAACTTTCTGTCTTTATATTCGTCCAAACTAATAGATTTCTGTGATAAAAGCCAAAAATTACTAGAAATATTTTTGGTATCTTAGGAAATCATGACCAACTATTTATATTACAAAAAAGAATAGTTATGAAATATAAAACTACTCAGTGTATTTAATAAACACTAATCAACACGAAATTCTCACTGGCTTTATTCGCTGTCTTTTAGTTAAACTTTTTGTTTGTTGAATCCCTTATTGTTATATTTACACGAAACTAGTGAAAGGTAATCGGGGGATTTCTGTAGAATGAATAACTAAACCTATTTCGTTTATTACGTACTGAAAGCTTATGAACAACTGATTTGTCACTGAGTAGTGACTAATTTTACAAATACCCAATCCTTCAGTGTTGGTCAGGCTTCCTGTTATCTTCCTCCAACCATTTAACGTCTCAATATAATGAATGAGACATCGACTCACTTAAACTACCGGGTACAGTAACAGCCTGAGTAATTAAGTCGTGATATCTCAGACTATGATGCTGAGTGGCGCGGGTTCGGATCCCCCCGGAGAAGACCACTTCCCTCCAGATTACAGATACATCTTACTGAAGAGAACTTAATAGCATGAAAACTAGGTTCAAAATTTGTTGCTAACTACCTGACAAAGTTTATTTACATTAGAAAAATATCCGATATAAATATTTTGATAAAACTAGACACACTTTAAGATCAATTTCCTTTAAAATTCATATGCCTATTTATCAACAATCATACGGAAGAGTGGGCATAATTAAGGATGTTCAAATAATGCAATGCTTCCGAATGATTTGAAATACACTAACAAATAATGAACCTTAATTATAAATTTAAGTATTATTTTGTAAATACTTATTCTAACTATCAGCGTTTCTTGAGTATAGTTTAGAAAATGAAACAATTGTGTTACTTAAATTACCCATACAATTATTTCCCTTTAGAGAAGATGAACGATTATTGATTTTATTTTACAACGATAAGCAAAATTAAGATTGTTACGAAAATAAACTATGACAGATTACTAAGAAAATTATAAACTAAATAAATAATCATCATTACTAGATTGTTTGAAGATCAGTATGATATCATGTTGTTCTTTTTTCGCGGAATCATTTATCAAGAGAAAATATCACCTTCTTTAATGTACACAAATAGATTAACTTACTCTTCAGTAACAAACACTGTTAAAGAATGAAAACAACTACATCCTACTTTTGTAAGCAATGATGGATAGTGGCTAGCAGTGGAACCCAGGATGCGCGCTTCGTCATATTTCGGACTCGTCAGTTGGATGTACCTGCATCTCAGAGTTGATGTTCACTCTGGGACTCGAATCCAGTACCATTCACTACAAACTCCATCGCGTTGGATGGACCTGCATCTCAGAGTTGATGTTCACCCACTATACATCATTGCTTACAAAAAGCTTGTGAATTAAGGCAATATCGAGGCATACACATAGTATCCACATATGCCGATAACAGACTGATCAACTGCAGTCTTAAACCTCAATGGGAAGATACAAGCCAAAACAATACCAGGTGAACTACATCCTACATTATTGAATTTCAACAATCTAACTGTAACAATTATTTACAAAAAAATCATACCTAGATGATAGTTTAAAAACCTGTTGTAACGTGTGGACTGCAGGTTAGATGCGCAGCGTTTTATTGATCGATTACAGTGGACCCGTAAACACGTAGTGGACGACCTAGTGCCCTGATTGGCCCTGCTTCGCTGTCTGTCCTAGCCAGTTGAGTCAAGAACACAAGTCACAGCCTCTGAGTTATGAATCATTGTATTTCAGACATACTCTATTTATATACCAAACAAACAAACCACATCGTACCATAAAATAGAAAACAACATTTACACAATATTTAACAAGTGAAATAAACACCGACCAATAGGAAATGTACATTCAAGGTCCAAGGCCACCATAGACTTAACACGATAATTACTGGTATATTTTTCCTCAGCATCCATAACAAAACCATAATTTTAATTAAAGCAGTATGTAAACTATTATAATATCTGTAAGTGGTGTATCTCTTTTCTTAACTAAACATTTATAATTTTCCATGACATGATTTAATTCACAATTTACAAATAAAATAATAAATTTAAAAATTACTCATTTCTACCCTAAAAAATTGTAAAAAAGTTACGCAATACTTCCTAAAATAGCTGATTAACTAGATGTAAACCTAAACGTCCTAGTGTAACAGTGAAGTGATGATCAACATTCAAACTTAACAAACTATTTCAAAATAGAACAATCTTTATGTATGAACAAGTGTCTTCCATTTGGTTATGGATAATCAAACAAAGTAGAAAACAGGCTAAACTTCACGTTTAAATGTGTGACACTTACTACAAACCTCGTTTTCAATAATTATTAAACTTATATTGGAGTGATAATCCTTCGTTAAAACACAAGACGCTTGTATTGATAATCTGACAAAACTAGCAACTAACAAGTTTTACTTCAACTATAGATTCTGAACATAATCACTTCAACAGAATTAAGAATATTTAGCAATGCGTTGAATATTATGAATTATCTAGACAGAAGTAACATTGAAGAAGGCTAAAGTGTATTCGGAACTGTTCAATATTAAGGCTAGATAAGGATATGCTCAAATAATTAGATGAATAGATATTATGCATCTTTAAGTATCTATATTATGAACATATTTTTCGAAGGCTACTAATATTAAAATTATATAACTCGAAGACAAAATGTCGACTTAAAAATAACAAATAGTGAAGAAACACGACGTCACCTTCATGACAAAAAGATACTCTGATGTAATCCCTGCACATTATTGTTATGTACTATCCATTATTATTATTATTTCGGTTCATTTTAGTATTATTCTAATTTTATTGGTTTCGTCCTTTCTCCGCATCAACCCGACAGTAGTTACTACCTCGATGTCTACCATGATGATTGAACCGACTTATAATGGCTGGAACGTTCACTACTTTAGGTCCCAACATGCCAGCTAGATCTGCTCGAGAACGGTAAGATTGAAAGGAGCAAACGAGTTTCCAAGGGCGAAGTCTTAGTACAGACTACACAGGGGTATGGAGGCACCATATAATTTCCTTAAACAAAATCGGTTCTGGCCTCAGGCAAAAGGAAAGGATTAGAAAAGGTCGACCCTGGAAATAGCACACCTCACCTTACCACATGGATTTCCGCCGCCAGCAGTATGACCGTTAAATTGCAGAGCTAATCTTGTTTACTTAAACTTTCATTTTATTGACCTTTATTAATCTTCATATAAAATGCCCTGACAAGTATATGTATGACCAGATGGTTCGAAATGTATAACACAAATACATCACATTTTCCAGATCAGCTCCGCTTCCTCCTAATTTACAAAAGGGACTAATTACTTTATAAAAACTGCTACTGAAAAGGTTGTGTGATCAGTGTCAAGCAGTTCTCCTTTGTGCTCTGAGAGGACACTCCCAGGTTTCCGTGATCGCTACCAATTCAGTCTCTTTTTCAGGTGCCTCAAAAGGAAATAGCTATACATGATGTAGGTGACTAAGAAACGACAACTGTCCACAATTATTTAATAGCATTCGAAATCCTCTTGTTCACGATATAAATATGTATATACATATTATTTAGATAATCAATTATCTAAACCATTTCAACCTTTACAAGACAAAATGAACTCTATCAATCTCAACTAAACTGGTTACATTATAAACCATTTAGATACGAACATAATCACAACGGAATTTAAATAGAAATTTTCGAGCTATATAAACAATACTTAAGAGCATTAATAGATACCTGCAGAAACAAACCATAAAACGTTTTCTTATCCACAATGAACTATTGACTCGGTTGTTGGCTGAATTTTAAAAGCATATCTATAGCATTATCCCAACTACATTGACTTAAGTAATGGAGAAGTTTGATAGGTTTTATTTTTTTTTTACTGAACGTTAATATAACGAAAATTTAGCATAAATCATTATGAGTTGATTATTTGTATACTTCCGAAATTTAAAATCTTATAAAATAACTAACATAATCCAGAATATAATGGTTAGTGGATACAGACATGAAATGATAGTATGAAAAATGATGCATGAAAAGTCATAGCACTAAAATATAGTTAAAATAAGAAGTAATAGAGAGAAAATACACTTTACGTTATAGACATACTTGCATAACATCAGGAATAACGTTATTGTTTTCAACATTATTTTCCATAGTTTCACTAGTGTGAAGAAAAAAATCAAACAGTAAAGTAGAATGAAATGAGCTATACAACAATAACATAATATTGAAAGATTACCATAACAGTGTGAAGCTATATGTAGAGATAATGGGGTTTAATGTCCAAACTTCTACTCCATAGCATATAGCATGTTCATGAAGAAAAATAATGAACAATTCTAGAGACCAAGATACTGTGATGTCTACATTAAAAAGTAGATGTATTAGAATTTGGACCCACGATTTAACAGCCGGCAAAGCTGTTTCATGTGCTAACAATATTGGATATCGAAATTTATCCCATCCTCAACATCAAATCAGTCATATTCTGCAAGCATAACATAAATACAGGAATTTGAAATAAGAAACAACCCTTGTCCACTATCTACAGAGTCTCTTTGAGTTGTCACTTGGGAACCTCAACTGTCATACATGAGACATTTTTTCCACCGCAAGCAGTCGAAGATGGACGTTCGATATCGTGACTTGATTAAAGTTAGACGTTAACACCATCAGACACTGGATTAGTGGCCGTTGGCGCGTGAGATCGAAGATCCTGAGTCCGATTCCTTATTATGGGATAGTCGTACGTACTACTGAAGAGTTCTGTACTAAAAATCAAATGTCCAGTGCTTCCTAGTTCTCAATGAAGGTTTATCTAAGATCGTTTCGTGATTTAAAACTATGAAAATTCTATAATCCCCATAAAAGCTATGCTAAAAATAAGTGATGATCAACTAGTTTATACAAACTTTATCGCAGTAACAATCTTAATCCACTAAGTCAAATTTTAGTGATTAGGATGTTTGAATTCCACCAATTTCAAATTACACCATCAATAGCAACTCCCTCTTTTCATTGTTTACTAAAATCTTTAACAGGTCCTAAATATCCTATGATTGTAGGTAACAAACAACCACGCAATTACCGTGAAGCAATCTCTACCGTCTAGTTCTTAATGAGTATATTGCTCAGCGAAATCAACCCCGAGACGAAACCAACTTTATTAAGTTTTTATTTATACATGAATGATAAATTTGCTAAGAGTTTATCTTTAAAAAAACACATGTTGCTAAATAAACATGGTAAAGCAACCAAATAGACAAGCATATACTATTAATTAGAAATAAAAATAGAATTTATATAACATACAAAAAAAAAATAATTAAAAGCAAGTAATTAGAAACGTGATGGATATTATAACTACAAATAGGATTTTACATTCATACTTGAGTTGGAACGAATTATACTTATATGTGCTACATTTCGGAATGTATCATATGAAATACAGAACAAAATGAAAAACTTACCCTAAATTTGGATCGGATTCGTTAGAATGATCTTGTGCAACTTCTAAGTTATTAGCGACATCAGGAGGTATGTCAGACTGGAGATCTGGTTTGGTTTTCCGTTTTATAGAGAAAGTTAAAATCAAATAAACTTATGATGAAGGATAGATATAACACTACTCAAAAATACATAAATAAGAACTTAACTACTCATAAGTAACTAGACCTGTGCAAAATTTTAAAAAACGATAAAATAAAAAGCTTAGACGAACACTTCTATACAGTTTAGGTCGTAATATAAAAGTCTATGGAAATAGGTACCCAACCCCAATAAATTACTGTTAGTGGATATTCACTGAATCAATCATAAACGAACATCTGCTTTATAACAACTGTCAGCTGAGATGAGGATACATCCAGCTGACGAGTCAAAATAAAAAGGAATACGCACCTTGGATTCTATGGTTAGCCATAATTTCTCTATCATATAAAAACTTGTGTCATAACGGTTGTATCAAGGCAATCTCATCAGGACGCACATAAACCAACAAAAGCTGATCAAATTTCAGTACTCAATATCAACAATGGGCTCCAAGATCCTGAGGGAGCAAATGGTGTATGAACCAATTGTTGGTGACCGGCTACTATGGGACTACATCTTCTGACGTTCCTCCACCGCCTTGTGGGTCAGATCTTTAGGTCGAAGGCTCCGGGTGTGACCCCCCAGTAAAATCACACACTTCGATTTGGGTAACCGGGCAGTATCACAGCCTACACACAAATCAAGTGACTTGTGTGGCGCATATTTATTTGGTGTCATTTTGTACCAATATTTATGTGTTCAAATAAATAGATAGAATAATTACTAATATTGATATAAACTGTTGAGATATGTAGCATAATTGTATAAATTATTTTTACGAATTCATGCTTACACAAAAGAGATTGGTTAAACCATTTTATGACTTGGATATATGGAAGAATTTTTTTTAGAAATGACCAAACTTTGTCTCAATAAAAAGTTTCCAATTCTTATTATTTTTAAATTGTATAGACCAAATAATTAATCTGTTTCTTCTCACTGATAAATCCATTGAAACCAGGAATAATGATTTTTCAAAGGTCACAGTTTTTAAATTTAGTTTGATGGATCTACGGGTACTTAATTTTTCAACCAATAAATGACAGGTTTTCATCTGAATAACTCGATAGTATTTCTAGCCATCATACAGTATGAGATGTGTATATTATACTCATTACAGAGCATGATCATAGGTTAATGAGTTGCTTGACAGTATGACATATGTTGAGTACCCGTTAACAAAATATGTGTTGCTCTCAATTAAACATAGTTTATTAACCCAGAAAGTTAGTTGATATGAAAAAAGAATAGTGATATGTTATCACAACTTCTTTGAAATAAATTTTTAAATAAAACTGATGTAATGCAATATTATCATCAACTTTCAAACAAAAAGTGGATTAAATCAATTATATTTTCGGTTTCACTCCTATCAAATGCTGTAAAATGATATAAATAGGAATCACAGTAAAAGATTGTATGTATTATGTCATTGGTTTAGTTTAGGCTATTCAGTGCACTGAATAAAATGTTTTGTTATAGAAACTCAGCTCTATCAGTACAATTTAACTATATATCACAAACATATAGATGAGTTTTAGAATAAAAAGAACGACTGTTAAGAATAACTTCACCGTCAATGATTATGATAAGAACTATGTTTCATTTATAAATATGTATATTATTGAATACAACTAATATAATATGAATGTATATACAAAAATATGGTTTTACTAATGCTCTTTTAAAAATCTAAATTTATTAACTTTGATGTAATTTAACAACCAAAAGCATATTCATAAACCCAGTTTTCATTAATGCTAGTAACTTGAGAGACGATGATATTCCTCGAATATTCGTACTGAAGATGGTAAGTGAATTATCGCTTACAACTTCCAACCTAATAAATTCATTCTGTATTGTTTGTTTGAATCTTCCCATTGATGTTTAAGACTGTAATTGATCAGTCTCTCATTAGTATATGTCCATCCTGTACGGATTGCCACGATATTGCCTTAAGTCACAAGCATTACAAACAAAAATAAATTTAAACTTCACCCCATTGCACAAGCTAGTGGTTGTCAGGACTTAGAAGCTAAGTGAATAACGCTATAGCGTTTGAAGCGAATGATGCTGGGTTCGAGTCCCGGAGTGAGCACCAACTTTGGGATGCGGGTGCATCCGGCTGACGAGCCCCAAATAGGATGGAATGCGCGTCCTGGATCCCACTGCCAGTCACCATCTATCTTTGCTTCCAACCTAATAGTTGAAAATTAGTTGTTTTAATTAACAATCACTAAGGCAAAACTGAAATTATCAAAACAATTCTAAAAATTAAATTTCTAATAAAAATTTAAATTGTTTTTCATTCATTTTTCATTATGTACCATAAAGATGAATAAATGATAAATTAATAAGCATTAATAAAAATCACTATTTTGAAATTATGAACAGCATGTGATAGTGAAATGGATATAATAGTTTTTCTATACAACAATTACTTATACTATTATTATTGAAAAGTACATTTATTTTAAAGGATTGTTATTTTGCTCAAACTCCGACAATATTTTCTCTATCTGATAACGTACAATAATAAGTAAAGCCTAATAGTGAAGTTGAAGAAATATCATTGAAATTCAGCGTTAAGACGATGTAAAATGCGACAACTTGTAAGTCATTCCCTGAGAATTCAATATATATAAGTAGTATTCACGTGTTTTGAATTAATCATATGTGAGAAAATGCTGAAGTAGCATTTAAAAATTATAGAGCCGGCAATTAAGTTTGTCAGAAATGGTCAACTGGTTGGTAAACTGTAAATGTGTTTGTATTATCATGCACGAAACTGATTGAATTATGAGCGTGATGGAAAAACTATAAGAGATAACGAGATCAGGATATGATGATAATTGATGATCTTAATCACTATTATTGTGAGTCATATGAATAACAGTTGACATACTGACGAGATTTTATGAGGCGACAAAACTAATGATTTAAAACAAACAGGTGTCATAGCTGAAAATCAATACTAGTGTTTTATGTTGCCAGTTTCTTTGTACTGTGTTCCTTCAAATTGACAGATCTTTATTCTAATACTATTGAAGTTGATGTTATATTGACTCTAGTTAGTCAATAATGAAGTAGCAAATGTTGTATTCGAAAGCAACACATACTTTCATCGAATAAAATAACAAGAGGGTATTTAAGAATCATGTGAAGTATTCACCTTTTCTGGGTAGCTCATATCCTTAAAATATATTTTAAATAAAGCTACACCACGTATCGTAGTATCACTAACCAATGGTAACGGAAAATTAACTATCTTACTGTTGAGTTTGAAAACACTAAGATGAAATATCAACAAGTAACTAGGAAAGCCAATTAGAATATTAATTTTTAGTATTATGATTTTAATTAAGGAGACCTTTGCAAATGTAAGAACTATAGTTACATCACACTATTATCAGTACGAGGAAAAGTTCTCAACTTTTGTTGAATCAAGTGAAAGATTCAGTTGACGACCAACTTTCAAATCATCAGGTAGGATACCGTAAGAATCGATTGTGTACCGACCATATCGCGAAACTACGGATCGTTGTTGAATAATCAATTAAACCGAACTCGTCACTATACATCAACTTCCTTGACTATAATGCGTTTAATAGTGTGGATAGGAGAGCCTTGTGTAACTTTTTTCACAACACTGTGGTGTATCTGTGATCGCCACCATCACCCAGAATTCATACAACGAACTACAATGTAAAGTCATGCATAAAAGACAGATGCATTTTAAACGAGGACCGGTTTCAGACAATACTACCCACTCTCCCCCTTTCTCATCCTTCTGCTGGTCGACTGGATTATGAAGACCGACACATCTCAGGAAAGGAAGCACAGAATACAATGGACAGCTTGCATGCAACTAGACGATTTGATCTTCTCATATGAACTAACTCTTCTATTTCATGCATACCAACAAATGCAGGTTACGATAAGTAGTGTAGCAGTGGGCTCTGCATCAGTCAACCTCAACATACACAAGGGAAAAAGCGAGATCCTCAAATACAACACGAAGAACACCAAACCAATCACAATTGATGGAGGAACTCTGGAATAGGTTGAAACTTTCACGTAACTGGACAGCATCATCGATGAACAAGGAGTATCAGATACAGACGCAAGGGTAAGGAATGGCAAGGAAAGGACAGCATTCCTACAGTTGAAGAACATATGGAACTCAAAACAACTTTCTGTAAGCCAACATCAGTCACAATCTTCAGTGTGAACGTCAAGACGGTTCTACTGTACGGAGCAGGAAAATGGAGAACAACTTCAACTATCAAACTGTACAAGTATTTATAAACAATTGTCTACTCAATATGCTGAATGTACTTTGACTATATACCATCAGCAACAACCTACTGTAGGAGAGAACAAACCAGCCTCCATCTGAAGAGGAAATTAGGAAAAGACACTGGAGGTGGGTACGACATACATTGTGGAAATCATCAGAGTGCATCGTGAGGCAAATCCTGACCCAAAATTCTCATGGAAAAAGGAAAAGAGGACGATCCAAGAACATATTGCGTTGGGAATTTGAGGCAGAAATCAAGAGAAAGAATAGCAATCGGAAACAACTGGAAAGGAGAGCCCAGGACAGAATTGGTTGATGAATCCTAGTGAGAGGTCTATGCTTCTCCACGAAGAGTAACAGATGTAATTAATACTATTTCAATTAATACAACTGATATGATCCAGTGAATTGACATAATAATTATCGAATACATTGTATTAAAAACAAATGTTATCCTTAACACATTACTTCACTTGTTACCAACCTGCAACAGTGTTAGAAGAATACAACCTGTCTCCTAAATAAATATTATAATTACATCGATATGATAAACATAATTTTTTACATCCACTTCTAGACAATCTGATACTATGATAGGAAAATTACTGAAAAATTTATACTGAAGACTTTAACAACAGAAAAACTGTACAAAGAAATTATTTTG